TAGTCCACCAGATCTAACGGTGTAGACCTCTGATCCGTGTGTTGTACTTCAGATGGCTTTTCATCAATCAGACATGTTATGAATGTATTTTTATCATCCTGATTACGACGGCTGGGCAGTAAGAGTGGACCTGACTGATTTAAAGCTTTCCTCAGTTTCTAACCACCAGTATCACCCACCTATTTACAGCCATCAGAACAACTTAAGTCAACCATTTTTGACCATCTTATTACACAGAGATCCAAGGATTCATATCGAAGTCTTTCTAGGTGAGCACTGCGATTCCAAGGCAGTTCGATCTGAAAATTCCAGCAGCCTCATTATTAGCAGTGAAGCTGGAGAGCGAGTTGGAGAGGAAGGCTTAGCTGTTTTCCGCAACGGCAGCAGAAATTCAGGCTGGCTGCTGCGGAGCGAAACCAGCAAGGCTTAAACGAAAGCAGCCGCACAATTGGTGTAAAGATCGCACGAGCGTAAGGTTTGAGGTCAGGGCCTTTTATTGGAGAAGTGATGAGATGGTGGCCTGAGGAGCCAGAGAACAGCCTTATCTTCACTCCACAGGCCCTGCCTTACGGAGGGATGAACCGTAACACACACACACACACACACACACACACACACACACACACACACTTCCACTGCTACTGGCTCGGACACGCTGATGATTTATTACACCTCACTTAAAGCCTCAATCAGCAAGTTTTTACTGCTAAAATTACTGACCGATTTTAACCCACTCCATTTATAAAAGGCCCCACATGTAACATGGAGGATGAAATCATGAAATCAACAGCTGCTCTAAAATTTCGGATAAAAAAATCACACAAGAGAGCGTAATAGTCCTCCCTCTCCCCCCATCATTAAGCGCGACTCCAGCCTATGTGGGCGTCCATTAGCTGACATGTGCTGGGTCCAATGACGTTGTGTTAGCGTCAGTTTGAAAAGACGTGGTGCAGCTTCACGTATCTCAGAGGAAGCAGGTGCTAGTCATTGTCCTCACAGCTTGCTAGCTTCATGTCATGGGGAGACCTAGCTAGCAGGTGTGAATTGGCCATGACTAAATTGGGGGAAAATTGGAGGGAACAAAAATTAAAGAGAAAGAAAGAAAGAAGTGCTGCTTTGATGCGATGCCAAGTTTGGAAAATCTGGATAATCTCCTATATATAAGGAGCAAGATGGCAGGTACAGCTAGTAAGTAGGGCCGACGCAATTGGTTGACTACGTCTATTAGTGATCGATGGTGTGAGTTACTGAAAAGTAACTGAAAGTAAAAGTTATAACAGTAAATACGACCTATAATCCACTATAATGTATATACAGATTGATAGATTGCAGTATATTACAGCTGGTCTATGCTGGTCCAGTGCTGGTTTAACTGCTTACCCAGTCACCCAGTATGGCCATGCTGGTTGACCAGAATACCAGCATCCAAAGTACATATCATCACTGTCCAAAATGTTAACTTTACAGAAGGAAAATCTTCTTAATTTATGAAAGTTAATGCTAATAAAATATAATAAAAGATGCCTTTTTTCCACATAATTTTAGACAATTTCTATTGGTCCATTCATCATGAAATTTTAACCCCGTGCAAACAGTTCCTGGAATTTTCAAATAATGCAAAAAAAAGGAAAAATATTTATAAGATATGAGGTTAGACGTTTTTACGCCACAGAGACAATATGCTGGTCTATGCCGGTTTTTCTAGCAGGGTTCTTCATGGCATCACTCAGCATTATGCTAGACAATGCAGACGTCTGTTAGCCTAGCTGACATGAGAGAATTGGCAGTTAGCATTCTCCTGCAAGCGTGCTGAACTGTGCAGCTTTAAAATGCGGTAACTGACCTCAGAGGAGGAAAATACTTGAGTAATTGTTCATGTTTAAGTATTATTTTGGAAGATTTGTACTTTACTTAAGTTCTTCAGTACAACTGAAACTGAGTTCTTGTACTTTTACTCAATTACATTTCCAAGAAAAAAAAAACCTTCAAAGCTCTTGTTGCGAATCTCAAAGGCCAGGAGAAGCCTGGCTGTGCTAGCCAATGTAGACAACTCAATTAGCAGATTTGAGCTGTCCAGTAATGTTGCGTTAGTGGCAGTTCAGAAAGATGCGGCGGCGCTTCACACGTCTCAGAGAAACCCCATGCTTGCCTTCACCTCCCAGCTCAGCAGCATGATGTGATAGAGGAAGCGCTGGGATAAAATCTCTGCAGTGAGTCATGCAACAAGGATAGTTTCTGCACTTCAACACTCGGCAGCCCCACTCTGTGAGTTTGTGTGGTCTACCGCTTCGTGGCTGAGCTGTTGTTGCTCCTAGATGCTTCCATTTCACAATAACAGCACTTACAGTTGTCTGGGGCAGATCTAGCAGGGATAAAATTCCATCAACTTGCTTGTGGCAGAGGTGCCATCCTATAACAGCGCCAGTGTAAAGTCACTGAGCTCTTCATTACGACCCATTCTATACATTCTATACACACTTTTGCTGATTTTGTTATTCTGAGTTTGGAAAACTTCATATGTCCACAAGAATCAGGGGAGCATGATCACAGGCACCTCTAGCAAGTAGGGGCAAAACGATGTGGCACAGCTGGAATTCAAACCTCAGCTGCAATCACACCTCTGTGCACAGACAACCAATTAGGAATCTTGATGCTACATGATCAAACGCATGTTAATTTTACCAAAAAATGTAAAATCCTTACCTTCATTTTTCCTGAAATGGGCAGCATCAAACAAATGAAATGTATAAACAAAGGGACTTTTGATTATGCAGGGCCACTAAGAAATCACAAGACTTTTGTGATGTGGTGCCATCTAGTGTCTCCATCCTGTAACAAAGGGAAGGGTTGGAACTCTGCTGCCATCCACAGGCTGCCAGTGAGGTACACGTAAGGGTGGAAAAGCAGCTGTTTCCTCCAGATTCCTGGCTTTGCTCACATTTCCACAAATCATGGATTAACGCAGGGGAGCCCAATCCTGGTCCTGGAGATCTACATCCCTGCAAAGTTTAGTTCCAACCCTAATCTAACGCACCTGATCCAGGTAATGAAGGATTCAGGGGCGTCTAAACATCAGAACCAGGTGTGTTGGATCCGAACAGGGTGGCAGATCTCCAGGACCAGGACAGAACACCTGAGCATTAAAAGAATAACTTATGCAATGTCATGTTTCTAAATTTCTGCAAAATGAAATGACTGATGAAGAGTAATTCAGTGTGGATTGATGTGAAATGCTCCACTGTAGCTCTGGGATAAATGTCTAGCCTGAAAAGTGCAATTTCTTTCAGATGTATTACTATTTTAACTTTATTAACATCCCACATAAAACCTCAGATTTGCACAGGTTCACTGGGATCACCCTCCCTTTAGAGACAGGTGAGGAACTGAGAGCCAGAGTCCAGCACAGTTTAGTGAATCCCTGCTCACACCGACTAAACCTACACTCTGTGGGGTGGAACCCTCAAAGGTACATCTCAGTACCTTCAGTCAGGGAACATAACTGAACCATAATCCACTGAAATGATATGTTCTAAGCTGTACTGACTCCACACACCCCGTCTCGTCTCCAGGCTTTTATTTTACTGTTCTGTTTAAAACATTCGGTTATGAAAAGGTACAAATACGAACTTTTCACCTGGAAAAACTTATTTAAGGTTCACAATCAGACCTTAAAACCACTGTTGGAACATTTACTTTGATGAACGAAAAACGTACCTGAACAGAACCTTTATTTCCAACAGTGTAGTATTTAGCTGTGCAGGAACTGTGGGTTCCCTACCCTTGCTTTGGAGACGGTTCTCATACTTTTTTTCAAGGACCACCAAACGGTCCATATTATTGCTCATCTTCTGGGTTGTGAATTGGGATCAATTTGTCCGATGCCTTGAACAGGGGTGCTCAGTCAGCTGTGCTTCTGCTGCTTTGGAATGAAAACCTGAAGCCACTCAAACCCTCTGCAGGTAGGAGTGAGCACTTCTGTTCCAAAGCATCATCCTGTCAAACTGATCCTTCACAAACCACGGAGACGGAGCAAAAATAAAGGGGTTCCCCAAAGCTTTTAATAAATGATTCTTTAAATAACCTGTTTGGTAAATGAGATGCAAAAGTGAGGATACTTCTACAAGTACATAAAGGCTCTATACTATGGAGGACCAGATCTGCCTCAAAAACAAATTAAAAAAATAAAAAATAAACAAATCAGTAAATTAATATATGAATTAGAATTACAAAGAATAATGATAAATCTAGAAATAAATATATTAATAAACCCTTACATAAATGTCTGCATTTACATGTAGTCTATTTAGTAATTTCCATTCCTAATTTATGTATTTATTTTGTAGTTCCTTGAACATTTAATTTTTTTGTTTATAATAGTTTTTCCATAACTATTAAGTTGTTTATTTCTGTATTTTCTTGTTCTTATGATAATACAGGGGCTGTCGATCAATGACATTATAGTGTCTTAATATTCCTACTGGTTGACCAATTGTACAAATCTTGCTCTGTCAGCACCAACTAAGGACAGGACAGTACAATAATGGCTGCTTACAGATACAGAAAATAATATATAAAATTGAACATAGGCATTAAAAAAACAACAAACAATACAGAAATAAATCAGAATATAACTGCAGAAAAATGAAGTGTATAATTACAATCAAAATAAGCAATACATGCTTTATTTTTATTTATTGATGCATTTACTGAGTTATTTATATTTTTTCATTTTTGCACATCTGGCCTTCCATACTACACTAATTATTGAGTACAGAACTAATTAGGAACCTTGATTTTAGAGACTAGTGTCTGATTGGAAGCTGCTTTACCCTCAACAGCAGTTGGCAGAGGAAAACTCATTTTTAGACTCAGCTTTATTTAACTTAAAATCCCTTTGAGGTAATAATGTCACTGATGTTACTGTGCTGCTCCTGTAAAGCTACTTTGGAGATCTGTTGGCACTACTTGTATTTTTAAGGATAAAACAAGACGAGACAAGCTGACTTTTGTGTGTGTTTTATTATAACTGAAAGAGGGGCACTTTAAAGGCTCATTTCTTGGTCTCCTCCTCCTTTGACAGGTTTTTGATGATTTCTTCTTTCTTGGCCTGCAGACGCTCCTCGCGACGCTTACGGGCCTCACGGGTCTTAGAGCGGCGAGCCTCAGCCTGGTCACTGTAGAGAAACAGAGGTGATTGTTAAACCTATGACAGTTTTCAACATCAGCGGTTTAAATATAATTCTGTGTGAAGTTCTTGCTAAAACTAATCGAGTTTATCAAAGAAAATGTGGTTCATCAAATTAAGTGACGTTTCTGTGGCGTTTTGGATGCTGTGCAATCAAAACATACCTGCTATAATAACAGTTTACAGTCGAGTATTAGAGTCTGAGTGGACACTGAAGAGATGCTTGAAAACAAGCATGTCCTGTATGTTCATATACGGGACATTCAGCTCGCTTTATATCTGAGCGTCTCTGACAATTCAGACAATAAGTGGTCCGTCTCAGACTAGTCAAGTTATGGACATCCACCTTATGAACTCTGTCCACTTAGTCAGGACAGGAAATTGTGTAGATTCTGAGGCTCAGTTTACCTACAGAGCTACATGTGAAGCCTTAATTCTAACACTAATAATGCAGAACTTCATATAAAGCCTGAGACACAAATGGATGGGATAAAATGACACAAACTTGACAGTTTGACTTACGATAGGAGCTTCTTGCGAGCCCTGTCGGCCTTCAGTTTGTGGATGTGCTCCATGAGGATACGCTTGTTCTTGAAGACGTTACCCTTGGCCCGGAGGTACAGGCTGTGGTACCTAGGGGGCAAAAAAAAGCCCAGCTTTAATGACGGTAACAGTACTGAAATTAAATCGTCTCTTAAAATCCTATTGCATAAAACATCAATACATCATGAAGTGTATGTATAGCTTCTTTGTGAGGTTTGTGAACAAGGCAGAACTGAAAATGCACAAGCAAAACACTACGCTTTGAAACACCATGAAAAACACTTAGAAAATTTAATTAAGTAATAGGAAGACAAAATCTGGTAAAAATAAACAATGAGCTCATTCAATAGACTATGCAGCTGTACACTGTTTACAGGTTCCCTAATAATTGGTCTAAATCTGTTATAAAACATACAGCTCAGTGTTCTAGACTCTAATGAAAGTGTACTGACAACTACCGATCGCTTATCATGACAAACTGTTAAGGTGCTGCGAGCATCAACATCATGAAGGACTCATCTGTAGTATTTTCTAATTGACATCCCCAAAAAAACAGCTAAGATTCTAATCACACATCTGTATGGTGACACTTCTTACATGTGCCTGTCGATCTTCTTGGACTCCCTGTAACGCCGGAGCAGGCGACGCAGAATTCGCATGCGGCGCATCCAGCACAGCTTCTCTGGCATACGGGCGTTCGCCGTACCCTTCCTCTTACCTGCGCAGAGGCAAAAAGATGGCAAGAATGTCAGAGACTGTCATCCTATCATCTGCAGGCCAAGGGGAAAAAGTTCATGCGAGACAATGATTGAAGACAAGCTTAGATTATAAGAGTGCATTGCTTGACTTAAAGTGTAGAGCAGAAACATTCATGACAAAGACATTCAAAGTTTGTTCTTATTCCTGACATTTGAGTAAAATGAGACTCGCCCCATTGAAGTGTTCAACGATTTAAACTGTTTGCTTCAAGTTTTAATGCGCCATAGGAAGACTCCATGTCAAACTAATTTTGTTCAAATTAGAGCTGGGCAATATGGCAAAATGTAATTTCATGCTACTTTAGGGAGTTTAATAATACAGTGTCAGTTTTTTCCGACATCCAGTAAGTCTGAACAGACAAAGTAGTGTCACATTTTAAAAACACTCCCAAAAACTAGGAATCCAATTATTTGCATTCATCATTTCCATAAATCCAAGTAAACAGGTCTAATTATGGTCTTTCTAAATCAAACACTGAGTTGGGGATGTATAAGTACTAATTATATCCATCCTATACTCAAAAAGGCATAGAGACATTCTCATGATAATCATATTGCCCACCACTAGCTTAAATGGAATCCCATTTTCACCAACAGTGTGGAAATTATTCCAAATACGCACCGACACCCATATGGCGACCCTTGCGGCGCGCCATTGTGTTTTTGCGGCAGCGGGCGCGGGAGTGCACCGTGACGGGCTTCTTGATGATCAGACCATCCTTCACCAGTTTGCGGATCTGCTGGCCTGGAAAATAAAAGTATACAAGTTCAAAAATGTATCTGTGTGAATGAAGCTGACGTTCTTATGAACAGCAAACTGAGCTCTTTTAAAATTCCTAAACCTAAAGTTAGAAGGGAAAAGTCTTACGGGAGTTGGCGTTAGCAATCTCATTGGTTTCATTGGGGTCCAGCCAGACCTTCTTCTTGCCACAGCGCAAGACGCTGGACGCCAAGCGCTTTTGGAGCCTGAGCATGCTGAAACAAGAAAAAACGCACAAGATCATTATTAAAATTAAGAAACTAAAATAAAGGCACTAAATGAACAGCACACAGTCTGATACAACCTGAACTGAGAAACAGAAAACCATGGACTGGTGATTCACTGAAGGCTTGTCTCAATTATCTGAACTATATTATGCTTAAGACTATCCACTACAGGAGACTGGTGTTGTACTCTGAATCTGTCCTTATACATTAAAAAGGGAACTCCACCAGTTTTTCAAAATTTCTGCATGATCAAATGGTTGACATGTCAACAAAGCCATTCAGAGTGGTTTGGTGTGAAATGCTCAGTTCTAGAGAAACTCAGTCAGAACTGTTGACAGTGGTGGTGACAGATGTCCACCTCTAAAAGCTCCCTCACAAAAAAAAAATGGTTACGAATTCACTGCACTGATGTCTGTCACATTTGTTTTATCATAGTTTGACAAATTTATAAAGAAATATATTTTTATTAATGTACTTTAACCCATTCATGGCAGAGAGGTACAGGCAGGGCGTTGTAGGGCAAAATAATCCCTAAAGAACTTTTTTTTTTTCAGATTTTCCACTATTTTACCATCATTGCCGTTACATATATAAATCCAGAAGACTCGTGTAGGTTCACTGGTGGTTTTGAACAGTAAATAAATTGGCTTTATTTCCATTGTAACGTTAGACATGTGGAGCCAGGGCTCCTATCAGCACCACCACAGTGAATTTGTCAAGTTTCTCTACAAATGAATTCTTCCACTCTGAAAGACTTTATATCGTTATCACTTAACTATGGAGCAATTTTGAAAAATCGGTGGTAGCCTCCTTTAAATCCGAAACTAACTCAGGACTTAAATACACGAACGTTGCGTATTTATATTCCTTACTGGCAGCAACCAGTTTACAGCACGACACAAGCACAGACTCCACGTCTCTCTACCGTCACGATATGAACGGTGAACGTCAGAAAGCCGCCGTTTAAACCCGTTAGACACTTTAATGTACCTAAAACACTGTAAACACACGAACGTCCACACGGTGAGCTGGACGGCTAACGTTAGCTGAAATGCTAGCAGCAACGTAGCGAGCTGAACGGTCGAAACAGAAAATAATCACGTAAACCGACACAACCTGCTAAACACTCCAGTGTTTAATACTTTAATGCAGAAACCGCATTAAATCCGCTTTATTCGCGTTAAACCGCTTTATTTCGTGACTGCTCCGCACATCGCGTGTCGGCCTGAGGCCTTCGCGCTTTTCCCCCACATTTAGGGCTTTTTAACAGATTTTCACACACAAATCAGAGCAGTGTGGGGCGGGTACGGCGTCTCCGAGCATTAACGTGCGATAGAACTGCAGAATTTGTGCATTTTTGTCCCGTTTTGTCGGACTTTTTGCCCGTTTGCGGCTCCAGGTCTTACCTCATGGCTGCGGGTCTTAGAGAGAAAAGAACGAGGCGGGCGGAGCCTACCAATATAAGGACATGCGCACTGGGTACGGCAGACAACCGAACGTCAGTCTGGAAATAAACTTACACAGATAGATCAGTCCTGCGATGTGGTTTGTATCATATATGTTTTTGGCTAATTTAAAAAACCGTAATGTCCTTTTATCTAATAAAAACCTAAAAACGTCCAAAGTTACAATCGTAAAGAACAGTGCGCCCCTGCCGCTACTCAGATGGTACGTTCCAAAAAAAGATCGGAAATGCATTGTGGAATTTGTAGTGAGTGCCACCAGAGGGCGCTGTATTGCATACACATTAATCCAGTTTGTTAACATTGCTGCACAGTACGTTTTTATTTGTTGTTCAATTTTCTATTATGTGTTTATAGAATTCCTGTACTGTGTCTGTCTGAGAGATCAGTGATGTATTTGAACGTATGGCCTCAGTTTACATCACATTCACATAGTGATATTAACTTGATTCAAAAGGGGAAAGAAGATAATGAAAAAAATGCTTCCTAGCATAAAAGTCACAATTTGTCTGATATGGAATTCTCTCTCTGAGTATATTTGTATATGTATATGTTTGTACAGATCATATACTCTCTTATCTTGCACTTCAATGTTCTGAAAACTGTGTAAGCTCGAACTACCTTATAGGTCCACTATAGTGTGTACAGTTACACACTATAGCCTTACAATCCACTTCAATGCTTGCAATTAATATTATTATTAACCAAATAATAGCTGCTATTATATCTGAGTAAGGTTTTAATGAAATTGAGTTACAATGTGTTTTAGGCCTTTTACAATTTGTGAATGCAAGCCTATGTGCTTGCTATCCTGCTGTAGTTTCCTCCTGACACTCCCCCTTGTGGACAATCTTCAACCTGCTAAACGTGATAGAGTTGCTCAGTCCCAAATGGCTCTTCATTGAACTGTATGCAGTGGTGAACCATGACAATGTGAGCTAGACCTTCAGTTTGGGTCATAAATGTCTAAACTCAGTCAAAACATGATAAACAAAAACATACAATAATGCTAACTTCTGCTAGCGGCCCTATGGGATTCAAGTAATTTGTTAGCGCCAAGCTAGTGGTGATACGTGTGAACATTTTTTGCCTTTTCTAGATTAAACACACATTTGTAGCTTCGTTCCTTGTTTTACTTAAAGCTTGTTACAGACACATTAGCATGTTATACCTTGTACCAGTTTCACAGTGACTCAGTAGTGAGCTCTGGTTAACAGCTGCTGCTGTTTTGCGCTTCTAACAACCCACTGATTAGGCTGCCGTTTGTATTGGCGGTCAGTGATGTATCTAGAACTTCCAGAAGGCCTAGAGCAGGGGTGTCAAACTCAACCACTAAAAGGGCCACATTAAAAATATCATCAAATCTGTGGTTTTTATTTAATTTTTATTTAATGTTGAGCTGTAAACCCAAACTGGCCATTGTTTATTCAAAATATAAAAAATCTTCAGTAATAAAATAGACACTTGTAGTAGATCTTGAAATATTACATGGACACTTGAAATATTCAAAACATAAATGTTCTCAGGAGCTCAGTTTTTTAAACGTACCTTGTTTGCACACCTGGAATCCTTTCTTTGCTCCAAGGTCATTAATTCTTGGGCTCAGTTTCTGAGCTGCTGAGCTAATATTAAGTGTTTATATTGGTTGAACTGCGGCTGAAATGCATTTTGGTGATCTAACTGGTGTGGAATTGTGTAGAATTGTGTAGAACTGAGGTGTAACCACCGTCCCATAGACTGTTGTTGGGGTAGGAGAGTCGGAGTGCGTCACATTGCAGTCCATGCTGGGGACTGTAGTGCAGCACATTGTGAAATAAGCTAATATGAACAGAAAATTAAAATACTTTCGCGGGCTGGATAGGATTGTGTGGCGGTCCTGATCTGGCCCGCGGGCCTTGTGTTTGACACATGGGGCCTAGAGTGATGTTTTTTCTCATGAAATTGGTTCCAGCCATTGGAAATCAAAATGTGATTGCTTGATTCCTCTGTGATAGTTAGTCTAGCACATGTGGCCTTCTCTTCAGCTTCTGAAGTCCTAACCAATAGGAGAGCTCGCTGTGCTTTATCTACCTAGATACCACAGAGAAAAACAATTCCTGATTGGTCAATTTTTCACTCTGCGTTAAGAATTTAACCCTTTTGTTCCTTAACCATGGAACAAGAGTAGTATTGTAAGGAGTTTAATTACAAGCAGAGTAAAACTGAACTAAAAAGTACAGATATGTATTTTTTTAGTTCTCTGAAATCATCAGGCCTTTTCTGAAGGCCTAGAAGGGCCTGAGGGTTCCCCTCTGATGGGGTGAACAAACTTGTATTTCATAAAATAGATAGTACTGCACTACTTTGGAGCACAGAGACCATCTATATTCTTTTATTTAATCCTTGGTACCTGAATGTGTATTAAGCCCTGTGGTAGACTGAAAGGACACTATAATCCATTACTTCAGTCCCCGAGATGATGCTGAGAGGTCTTTTTTCTTTGAAGCCACTGTCCCATCCCGAAGTCCACAGCTGTGGTTCTGCTTAAAGTCAATGTGAAACAGAACCAACAGCACATTTCGTTTACGTACCGCATTTCTGAATGAAACATGGTGTCAGGGAGGGTCTCTGAGCTAGCAGAGCATTTTCTCTCAATGATAAGTGGGGGTGGTGGGATGAGGGAGGTGAAACATTTTTGGTTAATTTTATTTTTGTTGCCTGCTGATGTAATCGGAAAAAATCAGAAGACATTTTTGAGGTGGGCAAAAGTCATTATATTTGATGGAAGGGGGGATCCAGGGGAAAATGAGAACTTTGTCTTTAAAATAAGATGAATCTTATTTTTATATTTATATTACCAGAGATGTTAAATAACAATCCAGGTCCAGCTGTAAGTGCTTATGTGACGTATTTCCAAATGTACCAAAAGTGCACAAGCACTCGTTTAGACCACAAGCATACAGATATGCATCATATCTTCATCAAAGAGGTAGTTGTGCACATTCTTATGATGTTAACGTTCATCCTATATGTTCATCCTATATTTCCAAAACAGCCTATTAGATCGTCACCAACACACTGAACCCTGGGATATATACTTAGCTCAATAGAGCTTCAATGCATATTTGGGACAGAGTGTTGGTGTAGTTTGGTCTTACACACTGTGCTTTTATACAACCCTGTTTCCAAAAAAGTTGGGGAGCTGTGCAAAATGTAAACAAAAACAGAATGCAGTGATGTGCAAATCGTTTAAACCAATTTAAACAATTTAATTGAAAATAGTACAAAGACAAGATATCAACATTGAAACTAAGAAATTTTATTTTGTTTTTGAAAAATAGAAGCCGATTTTGAATTTGGTGCCAGCAATACATTCAAAAAGGTTAGGAGAGGAGCAACAAAAGACTGGTAAAGTTGTAGAACATCTCACAACTAATCAGGTTAATTAGCAACAGATTAACAACGTTTGGTTATAAAAAGATCATCCCAGAGAGGCGGAGTCTTTCAGAAGTAAAGATGAGGAGGGGTTCACCACTCTGTGAAAGACTGCACAATCAAATAGCACAATTCAAGAATAACGTTTCTCAAAATTGCAAAGAACTTGGGGATTTCATCAACTACAGTACGTGATATCTTTAAAAGATTCAGAGAATCCAGAAAAATCTCTGTATGTAGGCCTAAAACCAATATTGGATGACCGTGATCTTTGGGCCATCAGACGGCACTGCATTAAAAACACACAAAAACTCCATAGTGGAAATCACTGTATGGGCACAGAAACACTTCTGAAAACCACTGTTTCTGAACACAGTTCATCAGTGCATCCACAAATACAAGATAAAACTCTACCATGCAAAAAAAGACCCACATATGAACAGGATCCAGAAGTGCTGCCGCCTTCTCTGGGCCCAGCTCATTTAAGATGGACTGAGACGAAGTGGAAAAGTGTTCTGTGGTCTGACAAATCAACATTTGAAATTCTTTTTGGAAGTTATGGGCGCCGCGTCCCCTGGGCTAAAGAAGAGAGAAACCATCCAGCTTGCTATCAGCACACAGTTCAAAAGCCAGTATTCATGATGGTATAGTGGCATTAGTGCACATGGCATTGGTGACTTGCACATCTGTAAAGGCACCATTAATGCTGAATGATATACACAGCATATGTATATATCATTATATTGGAGCAACATATGCTGCCATCCGGACGACGCCTTTTTCAGGGAAGGCCTTGATCATTTCAGCAAGACAATCTCAAACCACATTCTGCATGTATTACAACAGCATTGCTCCATATTAAAAGAGTCCAGGTGCTAAACTGACCTGCCTGCAGTCCAGATCTGCAACCTTTTTACAACATTTGGCGCATTATGAAATGAAAAATACGACAAAGGAGACCCTGAACTGTCGAGCAGCTGAAATCCTATATCAAACAAGAATGGAAAACATTTCCCTTTCAAAACTACAGCAGTGTCTCCTCAGTTCCCGAACGCTTACAGAGTGTTGTTAAAAGAAGAGGTGATGAAACACAGTGGTAAACATCCTGCCTCAACTTGTCTGAAACATGTCGCTGACATCAAATTCAAAATAGGCATATATTTTCAAAAAAACAATAACATTTCTCAGTTTCAACATTTGATATGTTGTCTTTGTAACATTCTCCAATAAATATAGGATCTAACTTATTTGCACACCATTATATTTTGTTTTTACTTACATTTTGCACAGCATCCCAACTTTTTTTGGAAACATGGTTGTACATCTGAGAAATGGGACACACTTGAATACTTACTGGAAAGCAAACAAATGTGCATGAAACCACACTGACCAAGGCGTCTACCAGTTCTTGCTTTATATTGCAATTCTGTCTTGCTTCAATAAAAAAAGACTCAAAAAGTTCAAGCTTTATTAGATAACACAGAGGAAAGTTTCCTTTTGGAGGCAGAATAAGCAGTCAAGTAATAAATCATAATATATGGCAGTATGTCACACTGCAGTACTTGGCATATCACAAATTTTAAATATTCGTGATTCAGTCTTATTGTATGGAGCGATTTGAGCCTGAGAGTTATAAGCCAGGACGATAAAGTACTTCACATTTAAAAAGGTCAAAATCGAGTCACCGATTCTAAACACTCTGGCCGACATGAGTCTGTTGGTGCTTCCTGAAGTTGCTGGAGTGGCTGAAGCGTTTTCCGCAGAGGCTGCAGCCGTACGGCCTTTCCCCCGTGTGGTACCTCTGATGGATCTTCAGGTAGCCGGACTGACTGAAGCGTTTGCCGCACACGGTGCATAAATACGGTTTTTCTCCTGTGTGAACCCTCTTGTGCTTCTTAAAGTCTCCCGCGTGGCTGAAGCTGCGGCTGCAGAAGGGGCAGCAGAAGCGTTTTTCATGGAAGTTTCTGATGGATAAACCATTCAGAAGTTCGTCGTGTCTCTGGTTCCTCGCATCTAAAGCAGCGTTAATGTCGTTCATGTCTTCGGCCGTCAGCCTCTCCAAAGGTCCATTTAGATCAAACTGGACGAGTCCAGAGGCGCCAGGTTGTTCCGCCTGTTCTCCACTCGCGTTAAACGCTACAGTGTCAAAAACCAAACCTTGAGGCGCGTAAACCGTGTACCCGTCCGATTCCGCTTCCGTTTTAATTTCATGAGAAGACAAAGCGGGCTCGTTGACGGTTAAGACGTCAACACTGTGTGCATCTTTGCTGAAATTTTGACTTACATGGTGGTCTGTCCTTTTCACCGACGTGGCATTATGGGAATTGTAGTCCGACGATTTGGAGCACTCAGGCGCCAATACTCGATGCTCCGTTTCCGCTTTGATGTTGAATCCTGATGTCGAGGGCTGCGCCTTCGGCTCTAAATCGTGAGAGAACGTAGGTGGGCTTTGGCGAGGAGGCTCAGAGTCAATGGGACTTGTGTCTGGTTCTTTGGGTCCATGTGCACGGTTCTGATGATCACCATTGAGAAAACAATCCACTGTCTGTTTTATCTCTCCATTCGTCTGAGTGCTGCTCTCATGCATGACCGATAAAGAGTCGGTTTCATTCCTTTTCACCAAATCATGGCTTGGGCTAACAGGATGGTCTCCTCCTGCAGAACACAACAAAACATGAACAGTTACTCACAAAGCATATCAGGTTATTTTTAACTGTGGCTCTTTTTTAAATGTACTCAAAACATCCTAGTCAATATGATTTCTGTTAGATTGGTATTAGTAGATTCCGGAAAACCAGGCTGGAAGGTGCCTCACCACGATTTCTGTTGGATTTGTCCTGGAGCTCTTGTAACCTCTTCCGCAGTCTCTCGTTCTCTCTCTGTGTCCGGGCAGTTTTTTCCTGATATTCCGAGACCGTCTCCCTCACCGCCTCCAACACTTCTTGCACGGCGGCCGAGAGCAGCTTGGCGACCCGAGCGTTCAGCCGCTCCACTTTCGACATGGCTAATGACAGAGAGGACAGACCAGCTTTAACAATACACCACAATGTAATTTGCACTGTAGGTAGCTAGCACATAGACTTTTGGCCATCAATATGCATACTAACTAGAACATATAGGTCAGGGGTCGCAGCCCAAACGTTAAAAAGAGTCATTTTGTCCTTTCAACAAAAATCAATCCGATGTGGGAGCCACAACATTTTATGTCCATTTTATTGAAGTAACGTTTTACCATCTTGGCTGTAAATATGTCTCAGTATGTGCTAATAAATAAATGAAAGCACAGACTCACTTTACGCTCTGCTTTAAGCTTTTGCTCAGCTATAGCTGCTTTTCTCGCATCTCTGGCAGGAAACTTTTCCACAAAGTAAATTAGTTTCTTGTAAAATTTCTCTCAATGTTTGAATTTTTACGAGGCCGAAATCGCTTCTCATTCTCCAGCTTCTTGTTATAATTTTCCTGTACCACCTTAAACGGTGCCTGAGGCGCCCGAATGTAACTGCTACACCATTAAAGGTGGAACGGGAAAATTATAACAAGAAGCTGGAGAACGAGAACGACTTCAGCTTCGCGACTATCAGGAAACCAGCTGGAGTGATTATAAACACAAATAAATCCATTCGTCTCCAAATTGTCCTTTCGTTAGCTACTAGCTAGGTGAGATTCTCTGCGTTGCTATGGTGACCAGCAGTCTGCGCTGATCTTCAGGGTTAAAGGGTGAATCAGCAGTTCTACATTAACTCCAGAGTTTAAGACCATTTATTGTTAAACTGTGTTGAACGACCAGCAGAGCTTTATTTTACTGTAAAGGAGGATTATTTTATTTTTACCTACAAATCTGATTCTGCTGTGGAGCCGCAACAGGACAGTAAAAGAGCCGCATGGTGCCGAGCCCTGGGTTTGGCAGAGCTCAGAATTTTTGTCATTTTGCGTAGATGCATTTGAACCAGAATGCACAGAATTTGGACCGCAAGTCTAGTACTGGTTTAGCTGATCACCCAGTATGGTCATGCTGGTTGACCAGCATACCAGCACTCAAAACACGCCATAAGCTGGTTTTGGTGATGACCAGCATCCAAACCACAGCATATGCTGGTGAGCAGCTATGCAGGTTTTTCTAGCAGGGTTAACGTTGCAGGTCCTGGTTCTATATGGGTGCAACGCTGGTGAAATCAGAGACGAATCACCCCCACAGAGCAGGTACTATTTGGGTGGTGGATCATTCTCAGCACTGCAGTAACACTGACGTGGTGGTGGTGTGTTAGTGTGTGTTGTGCTGGTCTGAGTGGATCAGACACAACAGTGCTGCTGGAGCTTTTAAACACCTCAGTGTTGCTGCTGGACTGAGAACCAAAAACATCCAGCCAACAGCGTCCTGTGGGCAGCGTCCTGTGACCACTGATGAAGGACTAGAGGATGACCAACACAAACTGTGCAGCAGCAGATGAGCTATCGTCTCTGACTTTACATCTACAAGGTGGACTGACAAGGTAGGAGTGTCTAATAGAGTGGACAGTGAGTGGACATGCTGTGTCTGATCCACTTGCACCAGTGCATAACACACTAACACACCACCACCACGTCAGCGTTACTGCAGCGCTCAGAATGACCCACCACCCAAATAGTACCTGCTCTGTGGGGGTCCACGGGGGTCCTGACCATTGAAGAACAGGGTAACAAAGTACGCAGAGAAACAGATGGACTACAGTCTGTAACTGTTGAACTACAGAGTGAATCTGTATGGTCAGTGGAGCTGATGAAATGGGACACTGAGTGTAAATACAAGGAGGTTGTTTCGCTGTAGGTTTACTACCGTAATAACAGTGTAATACTCTTTAATGCGCACTAGCTGAGAGCGTATTTAAGCCTAACCGAGGTTTCCCAGACAAAAGCGTTCAATTTAAGCATATTAAATAAAGCTAATGACCCGCTTTCTGCCCTCTTACCTGTTCTTATTGTGTCCTGCGTCTCGTTTCACTGTATTTTCTGAAGCGCGGAGCTGAAACAGACGGTCAGCTAACGAGTCCGAGCTAACGCTGCTGGGCCGAATCCATGGTTGACCGCTGAGCTACACACCGCTGAGAACAACTTCAGCTGTTTCCTCCTGAAGAAGCTCCACTGCGCACATCTGCGGCTTTATTTCTTCCGTTGTGTTGTGGTTCTGCTGTCTAACAGGTCGACTTCCAGCCCAGTTCTACAGGCTAACATAGGCAGCATGCTAACCCTTCAGGCGAACGTCAACAAAGCTGGTGCACGGAGCTGAACGCTGGGTTGCCAGACATCAAAATCCCCCGTACTGGAGTAAACAAATGAACCCATATAACAGACCTGCTGCTCATCAGTTGCTTTTTTTTTTAAATCTAATTAACAATGCCATGTTTCTCAGACGTGCTTGTACTTAAATAATTTATATAACGTGAGAACGTTTTCCGTCATGATTATGACTTGCTGTTTCATAAATATGACTTACTTTCTCAAAATTATGACTAGTATCTCATAGTATGACTCAAAATTCTGACTTCGTATCTTATTAATATGATTTACTTTCTCATAAATTTTATTTGGTATTGCAGTAACATGGCAATCAAAATTATGAATTCGTATCTCATTAATATGACTCAAAATTATGACTTAGTATCTCATATATATATATATTATTACTTTCTCATACATTTTACTTGGTATTGCAGTAACATGACTCAAAATTACGATTTAGTATCTCATTAATACGATTTACTTTCTCAAAATTATGACTTTTTTATAATTATGACTTAGTATCTCATATATATGACATACTCCCTCATAATTATGGCTTACCTTCTCATAATCATGACTGACGTGTTCATAATTATGACTTGGTCTCATCTCTCATTAATGTGATTCTCAATATTATGACTTTTTTTATAATTATGACTTAGTATCTCAAATGTACAACATACTTCCTTATAATTATGGCTTCACATCTCATAAATGACAATTTCTCATGACTTAGCATCTCATAAATATGACTTGCTTTCTCAGAATTATGGCTTACCTTCTCAATTATTTAGACTAATTTAATTCAAATGAATTCAGATTAATTAGACTACATCAGTTATGACCTGGCCTCTCATACTGAAATTCTATCTCATAATAATGACTTACCTTCTCATAATTATGACTTCTCTTTTGGTAATTATGAGAAGGCTCTTTCACATTATGAGATATGAAATGGCAATTCATTATTATGACTTGCTAGGTCATCATTGTGGACAACGTACTAAATGGCTTCCATAGTTAAAAGCCCAAGTACTTAATTTTCTAAATGCAGAGTTACTTAAAGTAAGCAGAGGTGAAATGTAGTTTTCCTATTGCAGGAACATCACTAAGACTGCTGCTGTCTCCACTCAGATGGCTTATACTTCCAACCAAACTGTGCTGTTTACTGCTCATCAATACTGATTTCAGGATGCACACACAATATTTGATATTAACATAGGGGTTCTTACAAGCTTCTTTGATCTTTTTGGCAGCAAATTAATTAAATATAACACTTGGTCAATTTGGGGCAACAGGCTGCCCTCCTCATGAAATTGCATTCTCTTGGAAATGGGGATTTATACCCAACATGGCATCAGTGAAGCCAAGTCTGATCGGAATATAACTCTAATATAGCTGCTATGAATGATGTGGGTCAGTGTGTTTATTCCAGTAGCACTGGTTCATATTAATCTCTACGTATTGGTCAAAGATGTTTGTATAACCAAATAAAACCAGGTTACGTCTCAAAACAGGCTACTTGTTCAGCTGCTGGGAACCAACAAACTACTGGGCAGAGAGTTGGGGAGCATAAGAAAGCAACATTTTGGCAACCGGCAGGTGTTTTTGTGCATGTTCAAATTGTTACCCACAAATGCTTTGTATATAAATAGCAATGTACAGGATGTCTGCAGAACCTAAATACACCCATACGACTGACGTCCTGACTGACTTCAGCCGTAAATACAACAGATAAGCATACATTTGACTTGTAGCCACTAACAGAAATGACACATTCAGAAACAATACATGCAAATTGTTACGTAATACTCAAAAAAGCAATCCTCACTATGTTCTTTCATTACAATGTACACTGCACTGCAAAAGAGAAACACTGAACTGGAAAACCCTTAAAAAATAAATCAGAGGAAATCATCTGTACAGAATATGAACAAAACTCTAAAAGCCCACAACAAGGAACCAAAGGCCACTAAACCAAAAAGACTCTTTACAACACAAATTTCTCAGTATGAAGTAACTAAAACCAACACTTTTCTTTTTTTGCTCCCATTTCTCTCTAATGCAGCGATCCGAGGTCTCAAACACTCCCACTATAAAGTAATGAGCACACGACGAGTCTCTCGCTCAGGGTTCGCTCTCTAACGTGGTCTCATCGAAGAGGCTGAGCAGGTTTTTGGGCTCAAAGCCGCTTCTCTGCTCGTTTTCGGCCCAGCTGCGGCGTGAGCGGCTGGAGGCTGGGGAGTCTGAGAGAAGCTGGGGGTCCGCAGAGCGATTAGATGGGGTTGGAGGTCCTAACCGGATTGGGCTGAGGCTGGGCGAGCCCGGCAGTGTGTGTCTGGAGACGTTGGAGCGGATGCTGGAGGGAGTGTGTGTGAGGCTGCGGGTGGGAGTGTGTGAGAGGCTGGCGCGAGCGAGTGCGCTCGAGTTGGGCAGTGGGGTCGAAGTGCTTCCAACAGATAACCTGGCCTGGATTCTGAAAGGACGATACAGAAAGACAAGCAAAGAATGATTTACATCAGATGAGAACAGCATTATGTAACAATACAAGCAGTAGTAGCCAAGAGCGGCTAAACTGAACTGGGACAGTTTGCCGAAAAATTTTGCCACCTTTTCCCTTCAGACACCTGGAGCCGGACTACAGAAACTTCCTGTTTGTCTTGACTTCAGATCTGGCAGGTCAAGATAAGATTTTCCACAAATTCATATTACAGAAGCAAAACTGGTCTTCATATAGGAATCTTATCTGACTGCACTTTATCTAATCTCAAATTAAGAAATCTTAACTTACTCAATCGAAGTCGACCATAAATGTCATGTCTGTTACCTAGCAACCGACAATACGCCCACAGTTGAAACGCAATTAGTACAGTGTGTCCCAGTTGAGGGGCTGCGTCCTTCGGAGGCTGCATTTGAAGGCCGATTGCGTCACAGCGGCACAACTAAGTTGTGCCATCTCAAAGTCTCCTTCATATACGGCTGAGAAATGTGTCCTTCTTTTCCAAGCCAAAGGGTGGATCCTTCGCCAGCCAACATATCCCGAGGTTCAACGCGTGCCAGCAAGGATTCGAGAACATGGCGGCATCAACCGAGAAGCGAAGCGAACAGCGGCTAAAGAGTTCACATGTAAATATAAGTATTGGGTTTAAACTGAGGTGAATGGCTAACGATACAAATGATAAAAAAAAAAATAAAATGAACTAAAATAATATATTAATCTCAGCAGTAACCGGCGGTAAAGCATCTCCAGCTCTAATATATGAAACAAATGAAAAAATCAAAGTTTCTGGCTCCATCTTTAAAGAACCTAAAAAGAACTTGACAGAAGCGGTGCTGTGACGCAAACAGAAAATCCGCCGTAGAGCAGACCGTCTCATTTCGGTTCAGCCTTTGCGGGTCCAAGCAGCCTTCAGAGGACTTGCCTTCGTAGACCGCGTCCTTCAAAGGATCCAGCCCCTGAATTGGGACACACTCGTAATCAAAGTAATCAATTTAGTTAGCCAGGCAGCTGAAGTTAGCTACCGTTATTGATGTACAAAAAAGGTCAAACAAAACTAAAGCGCGATAAACTGAGAGTTAAGAATACTGTTTCAGAGCTTCGTGCTGTTTATCAGAGCGTCGCTGCTCCACAGTTTCAGTTTCGCCGAGCGCGTGAACGTTATTCCTCCTATTAAACAGACACACGGTCAGCTCTGTCTCCTCATTATTCACCAACACCAAACGAGATCGACCACATTTGGGACACGAGGAAAAATGTACACATTTGATTTTCATTTATTTATTTTTACTATTTTTAGCACAACACATTATGCTAAAGTTATAAATGAGGCATCAGGGTTCTGAGACATCACATTATCTTAAATAAGCCCACAAAATAATCCATAGTGTGCATGTTGTACCTGTGTGTGAACGTAGGAGAGTGCTGTAGGCCGAGCGTGCCCGCCAGAAACACAGGGTCGTCTGTAGGCGTGTCCGGCTCTGAGAGCAGTGCACTGTGCTGCAGACCGCTAACATCACCCTCCCTCTCCCAGCTCTCTCTGGGGGGTGTGCAGGGTGTCGGCGAAGGACAGCGGGGAATAAAGGGCAGATTGAGGGAGGACAAGAAACTCCAGCCTGCAGAGAGGATGAACTGAGGAAGCAGAGAGAAAAAGAGAATATTAAGCATGTTTCGACTCGCTCCCAGTAAGTGCACTGTCCTCTGCATCAACTTGCACTCTCTTGGAAATGGCATTCTTTAATACCCAATATGGCAACAACAAACCTATGACTGATTTGAATATAACTCTTATACAGCTACGTTCATTCTAGCAGCAGTAGTTTATGTTCATATATACACATTTACTAAATAAGCCTGTATTAACCAAATAAAACCAAGTTATTTCTCGAAATGTAACGAACTAAGTGTCTCGTTCTCTCTCTGGGAACTGGACAGAGCATGAAGGAGCTTAAGAAAGCAACAGTGTCTCTGCACAAGGATCTCTGCAACTGGCAGGTTAGTTTCAGGGGTGTGTTTTTGCTCAATAGTCCAGAAATACTTTGCATAAAAGTAACAGAATTTGCAGGATGTATTAACAACTTCCAACAGAGGAACCACAGCTGATTTTAGTTCCAGGAACCGTTTTAGTTCCTAATCCAGAGTAGGTAACAGAAACTACTGGGATATAGTTTGCTGTACCAACGTCACTGGCCAAACGCAAACTTTTACAGAGCTCTCTTATCTGCCATTTTACAAACCTGCGCAAGAAAGTTGTTGTGGATACCAGCAGAGCGAGCGAGAAAGAACAAGCAGTGTTTAAAACAGAAAAGTGTTGCTCAGCAACTATGCTGAGGAACACATTCAAAAAAGAGTCTGAATCAGCAGCTCAAAATAATAATCAAAACAGCACTGACAGTGTTTTCACATGTAGTTTGTTTTAAAAGAACCGAACTGAGTTCTGTTAAAGTGAACCTGAAAGGGAACCAACTGCAAATGACCTCAGTTCTTTTTGTGTTCACAGTGTAAGTGTAAGGGCTTTTTCACACTTGGGCCGTTTCAGTTTCTGAGGGCGCTGAGTCATGGTTTCTTTTGCATATGTAAACATGACAAATGAACTCAGACCCTCTAAATGGCCCCAAAAAGTAGTTCCTTTTGTGGTTCGATTGATTTGTACATTGTTAAAACAAAACAGCCCCAGTCCGCTTTACCTTCGCTTTATGGTGAAGACCTCGATGCTCAGTGCACACACAGCCACAGTCCACAGGTAAAACAGACCAAGGATCATTTATAAGGTTCTACTCAGGATAGAGTCTGTCCGTGATCTGAGACAGACAGCAGCGCTGACACATTTAAGCGATAAGAAACGAGAGCCTGTGTGATTTTACCGTGTTAAATGCTCAAACTGGGCACACAACGCAATTTTAAGCTGCTTTCACACTGAACACTCAATGAATGAATTCACAGCTCACGCGGAGATTCACTGGGTGGAGCTCAGTAAGGAGCACAGCTGAAAACGGAACCCACCGCAGCGGACCCCCAGGGTCATTTTCCCAATTTTGCACGATGCACTTCGGCCAACCGTTGCAGATCGGCCAATAGTAGAGCAGCAGGCGTGTCTGGGGGTTCCTCTCGGCACCTGAAAGGTTAGATTTATCAGAGAGCGCTGCCCACTTTGCGAGCACTGCGCCCACCGTGAGTGCTGTGAAAGGGGTCTGAGATCTGAGGGAGTTGTGGTCTGAAATCTCAAAGGACCAGGAAGAAAACAGTCCTCTTTATAATTCACTTATATTGTGAACACAAAACGAACTGAGGTCATTTGCAGTTGGTTCCCTTCCAGGTTCACTTTAACAGAACTTAGTTCAGTTCTTTTAAAATGAACTATATGTGAAAACACTGTTAAAGTCAGCCTGAAAGGAAACCAACTGCAAATGACCTCAGTTCTTTTTGTGTTCACAGTGAAAGTGTAAGAGGACTGTTTTCTTTCTGGTCCTTTGAGATCTCAGACCACTTCTTGCTCAGACCACACCACTCACGATGTTTGCTCGCAAAGTGGGCAGCGTTCTCTGATAAATCTGACCTTTCAGGTGTCGAGAGTAACTACCAGACACGCCTGCTGCTCTCCTATTGGCCACGCTGTAACGACTAGCCAAAGTGAATCATGCAAATTTTCTCGGGCCGTTTAGACAGGTCAGAGCACGTTTGCTGTGTTCACATATGCAAAAGAAACCATGACTCAGCGGTCTAAGTCCTCTTCAGACGCTGAAACGGCCAAAGTGTAAAAAAACGCTCTGAGAAACAACTGAAAAACGCTGTGTAAGTTCACATGAAACAACAAACAGGAAAACAACTTCAGCCTCAACTTCCTCCATGCTTGTATTTCTAATCTGACCATCAAAATGTTGCATCACTGCTGCTGTTCATCTGGTCACGTCTCTGCAGAGCAGAGTGGGCATAAAACAGAAACTGGTTCAGGATGGTTCTGTAATTCTTTAGTTACTCAAAAGTTTCTGGAACCTCGATGGAACAGCACCTGCTGATGGAACCACAGACGCTCACAAACAGTAGAATATCTCATCGTCACACAGACGGCCAGTCAGTATTTACCTGTGTGAGAGTCAGTATGGACAGCCAGCTCTCACGGAGCCGCAGTGAAAGCTGCCTTCTCCACCTGTGTTTGCGCACTGAGGGCAGAGCCAGAAGCTGCTGAACTGTAGCTCTGTCTCTGGGCTCTGGAGCCAGCATCAGCCTCAGAACGTCCTGCAGGTCTGGAGACAGGCCTGAAACACACACACACACACAGGCATTCAAACAAGGAACGCTTGACTGGCGTTCAACTAAACCTGGGAAGTTTCTATATAAAATAATAAATTAGAAATCATAGGGCTAAAAACATTTGAAAACTCACATCTTACGGCAGCCGTCACATGACAGAAGGTGCAACGTGTTAAGCAGTCTTGCAGAGTCAGACATGATTTTGTAACAAGAATACGATTTTGGTTTAAGGCAGAGGTCACTAATAGGGGGACCGCGGTCCGAGTCAGACGCTGTCCTATGCGGACCTGGACCTATAACCAATAAACTAAGGCGAATAATTTAATTTCGACCAGGTGGTCCTGTTTAAATCGGCGTGACTTTTTTAGCCTTTATCGTATCTTAAGCGGCCCGGGAGACTCGCAGACCAATCGCGTGACGCTGCTCATCCAATCAGATCTGTGCATTACGTTGAACACTGAGACTCGAGCGAGTGATGCACACAGGGTAGGGTCAAGGCGAGACACAGCAGTCGGAGAACAAAGTGAGCCAGATTATTTTACATGACGTTCTCTAAAAAAATTTTGAGAAAACTGACAATAAATATTGTTGAAATATTTGTACCTTATTTGATTCGACATTCAGTTGTTGACTGCATAAGATGTTGATATAACTACTACTTCAGTAAACAGTATATGGCACTGAATCATAATGCAAGTTAGACGTTATGATGTTCCGGACCTTTGCTTGAGGAAATTTTCCTTTTGACTGGACCTTATTTAATTTTAATTAAAGACCTCTGGTCTAAGGCTTGCACTCTCTACGAAAAGGCATTCTTTTATACCCAACATGGCAACAACAAACCTATTTGAATATAACTCTAATACAGCTACATTTGTTCTTGTAGGAGTAATTTATGTTTATATATACACACATTTGCTAAATAAGCCTGTATTAAATAAAAGAAAGAGCATCACAACTTCACTTAACGTCAGTTTGTCTTGTTGTCGTGAGGCGCTCAGACTAGACGATGAGGCAAAGAGAGACAATAACACACATAACGAGTTTGAGCTACGAATAAGAACTCAAACTCACAGATCTCCTCAGATCACACAATACAAACAGAGCTGAACCTACTGGACCTGTTTGTGCTTTTATGAGCAGCGAAAGCGTAAACTGGGGATTAAAATCTGATATTACAGTGAGAGCTGGAGAAATATTTCACTACAAACTGGCAGCTGAGCCGAAACTGTGAAGAGAGTGTTTTGACGTCTGGATCAACATTATAAACATGATATCGGCTCTGATCTGCCTGTGTTTTACACGCAGCTCCTCTGTCTCCGCTGTTCAGGCGCATCTCTTCGTCTGTTTCTCTGCTCTTCTAGCTCTCTGACTGGCTGTTTGAATCACTCACTGAGTTTATCTCTGACCGTCTGCAGGACTTGTGTGATAATATCAGAGGGTCTCTGATCACTTCAGAGTTTGATCGGAGGGCTAAAGATTCACTCGTTTCTCCTCTCACACTAACAGATCATTCGCGCCGTCAATCGCTTCCGACCTGGAAAATCGTTTCAGATTGTGAAAATTTGTCACAAGGGGCAAATCGGGCTTAAAGTCGGGCAGAAAATTGTGTAGTGTGGGCTCAGCCTAAGACCCCCTCTAAAACCCACTCCTAGCAAAACACTATTATTAGTTAACCAAACTATTTTTCTCTTGCAAGAGGAAACGTTTTCTTATAACATGTAATGTGTTCCCTGTACATGCAACGCACAGCTAAATGCTTAATAGGAGTTTTCAGCCGTGCTAAGTCATGTTACGTAGTCTTGCTGTCTGTAAGATTGTTGACAAGAGCAGCACTGCTCCCTACTTTGAGCTCCGCCTTCACAAGTTTTTGGATTGCAATTAGCTTAAATAAATGCAATCAGGCAATCGTGACAGGCCCACATAGTCTTGGACTATAAACACATTTCAATGATGATTAACCATTAACACTAAATTTTGTCCAATATTAGGCTTAATCTGTGGGTGAGAAACAGATCCAAAAGTCTTGGTGCTTTGGCAGACGATATTGCTGTCAGGATGTGACTGAAATGCTGCTTTCCGACTGTTCAATCTGCAAGACCAACAGAGCTCTACATGGTATACAAATTGCCCTTGCAACTCATACTATGTGATGATAAACGTAAAGGAAACCTTTTCAAAAGAAATTAACTTCTTTTAATTACCATTAGTGAATCCTGACGGCAAGCAACCCTTCCTGAGCTGCTGCCAGCCTTCTCCTCCTTTAGGCACCTCAATATTACAGGACAACTCCAGGATGGACACGCCCAGGCTGCAGGTGAGAAAAGACAACAGAGAAGACAAACCAGAGCACTAATAAGTTTGGAGTGGGGCTGTAATTTTGCCCACCGAAAAAGTCCAGATGAAAATGGCCGAAACTGACATGATTTTTTTGTTTACAATAGAAAAAAAAAAATGTAGAAAGTTTGTTAATTTATTGCTAATATTTCTTTAATGAAATAGACATACTAAGATCATCCATACAGAATACTTTATAAATAATTTCACTAGTAATAAGCAGTACTGTTAGGTTTTATAGTTAAAAGCTGCTACCTGTGCTCCCACACATCAGTCAAAAATAGATTAATTAAACATAATTTACAAAATGGAACAAAGCTGAAAATGAAACACTTTTTTTTAGGTTTTGTTTTTTTTCATGCTGGTTCATCAGTAGTATTTGATAAAGGGAGTGACAGCAGCTTCACTAACCTGAAGACATCTGCAGCAGGTCCATATTCTCCCCTCAGCAGTTCAGGAGCCATGTATCGGGGGTCTCCCTCCTGCGCATCATCTTTCTCTCGCTTCTCTTTCTCCGTGCCCTCCACCTTCCCATCCTCGCTTTCCCTGGGCAGCTCCAGCAGGAGGCCAAAGTCGCCCAGTTTGAGGCGTCCGGAGCGCGTGAGGAAAACGTTGGCGGGTTTGAGGTCCAGATGAGCGAAGCCCTGAGAGTGCAAGTGATCAAGAGCCAGGAGCAAATCACAAAGGTAATCCCACGCACACGCCTCACCTGGAACAAGAATAATGCAGGAGTCAAGTGGAATATTAACAAACACTGCCAAATAAACATATCAAAGCTTAGAAAGGGGAAAAAAAATACAGGGAAAATACCTTAATTCTTATTAATCATTTCATACTTCATACATTGTATGTCGTTTGCAATAGGTAGTTATTTGGCAAGAAAAATACCGTACACTGTTAGAAATAAAGGTTCTGTTCAGGTACATTTTTCGTTCATCAAGGTACAAACAATGTAAATGTTCCCTCAAAGGTACAACAGTGGTTTTAAGGTCCAGTTGTGAACCTTAAATACGTTTTCCCAGGTGAAAAGTTCATATTTGTACAAACCTATTTCCAAAAAAGTTGGGACGCTGTACAAAATGTAAATAAAAACAAAATGCAATGATGTGTAAATCATTTAAACCTTATTTTTCATTGAAAATAGTACAAAGACAACATAGCAAATGTTGAAACTGAGAAATTTTATTGTTTTTTGAAAAATATTTGCCCATTTTGAATTTGATGCCAACAACACATTCCGAAAAAGTTGGGACTGGGGGCAACAAAAAGCTGGTAAAGCTGTGAAATGCTAAAACAACATCTGGTGGTTGATTGACAACAGGTCGGTAACATGATTGAGTATAAAAAAAAAAAGCATCTCGGAGAGGCGGAGTCTTTCAGAAGTAAAGATGAGGAGGGGTTCAACACTCAGTGAAAGACTGTGTGGGCAAATAGTGCAACAATTCAAGAATAACGTATCTCAACGTAAAATAGCAAAGAACTTTTGCTTTTCATCATCTACGGTACATAACAACATCAGAAGATTCAGAGAAATCTCTGTATGCAAGGGTCAAGGCCAAAAACCAGTATTTGCTGGCCGGGATCTTTGGGCCCTCAGGCAGCACTGCATTAAAAACAGACACGATTCTGTAGTGGAAATCACTCAGAAACACTTCTGAAAAACACTGTTTGTGAAAACAGTTCATCACTGCAGCCACAAAAGCAAGTTAAAACTCTAAAACGCAAAGAAGAAACCAAATATAAACAGGATCCAGAAACGCTCCCACCTTCTCTGGGCCTGAGCTCACTTAAAATGGACTGAGGGGAAGTGGAAAAGTGTCCTGTGGTCCGACGAATCAACATTTGAAATTCTTTCTGGAAATCATGAACACTGTGTCCTCCAGCATAAAGACCACTCAGCTTGCTATCAGTGCACAGTTCAAAAGGCAGTATTCATGATAGTATAGGGGTGCATTGGGTGACTGGCACATCTGTGAAGGCACCATTAATGCTGAATGTTATATACATGTTTTGGCAACATATGCTGCCATCCAGACGACATCTTTTTCAGGGACGGCCTTGATTATTTCAGCAAGACAGTGTCAAACTACATTCTGCGTGTATTACAACAGCATGGGTCCGTATTAAAAGAGTCTGGGCACTAAACTGACCTGCCTGCAGTCCAGATCTGTCACCCCCGAAAACATCTGGTGCATTATGAAATGAAAAATATAACAAAGGAGTGAACTGTTGAGCAGCTGAAATCCTGTATCAAACATGAACGGGAAAACATTTCACTTTCAAAACTACAGCAGTGTCTCCTCAGTTCCCAAACACTTACAGAGTGCTGTTAAAGAAGAGGTGATGAAACACAGTGGTAAACAGGCCCCCGTCCCAACTTTTTTGGAACGTGTTGTTGGCATCAAATTCAAAATGGACATTTTTTAAAAAACAATAAAATTTCTCAGTTTCAACATTTGATATGTTGTCTTTGTAGTATTTTCCTTTAAAAATGTGCTTTACATGATTTGCATATCACCATCACCACTACTGCAGCCCACCTGGGTTTGAAGGCTGGTCCTCAGCGTGGAGCAGCAGGCTGGTGCAGCAGAGTTCAGTCTGAATATACAGATGTCCTCCTTCCTCCCAGGCGGAACTGAAGCCCAGGATGTGTGGGTGCGGATGGAGACGCTCATGATTACGAGCCTCTTTGATGCTTCGGGACCGCTCAGCCTGACCGCGGAAACGCTGTACCGCACGCTTCACGGCGTACTGCCGGCCATCCAGCAGACTCTTCACCTGACAGTGAGAAAACAGCTTAGAGTGGATGTAGTGAATTACAGCTGTAACAGCTGTAGTGCATGAGTAAGTAGAGGGTCATATGAAATGCACATACTTTCAGTCTAACTATGTTGAAGAATTTTTTTTTATGTACAACATAATACAAAAGTACTGTTACTTTTTTATAGTAATACAATGGGTAACCAGTGATTCTAGGCTACCTATCAGTTCCGTGCATGACTGCAACAATTAGTCAATGACATTGTTTATAAAACAATCATAGAAATGTCCAAAAAAAGTCAACATGAAATTGTATTGCTGATACTTAAGTGTACTTAAAGGGGCCTTATAATAGAAAACTGCCACACTTTTTTAAAGGATTTTAGTGCACTATGTAGGCATAAAGGTTTAAGATATAAATGTACTTTTAATGTATTTTTTAGTTTATGTATATGGAAAATAAGCTGCAAAAAACCTGTTTGAAGCCACTGTTTTCTTGATGCCACAAAAACAAGTGCATTTACATACATATCCATCCATTTAGCCTAGAGCAGTTTAGACCCACCCTCTCATGGTTATGTTACATATATCAGCCTTAAGCCGTATCCGGTCGGGATTAGTTTTCCATGGGCTAATGCCAGATTACAACAGGACGTCTGAAATGTTTATGACCAACTGGCACGGGATAAACTACTTCCTCCCGTCACTATTGTGTATTCAGTGTATTTTTAAAAATTATTCTGAATAATTCTGAACAAACTGAATCGAACTACTGTGATTTTTGTCCACATATCTGTCTTAGTTATCTCAGGGCATTTTCACAAGTGGACTGAGACCGCTGAGTCATGGTTTCTTTTGCATATGTGAACACACCAAATGAACTCAGACCTTCTAAACAGCCCGAGAAACAAACCAAACTGAGACCACCTTTCGCGGTGGTTTCAGTTCGGTTTGTTTGTAGCTCGTTTTGTGGTTCGATTGATTTGTGCATTGTGAAAACAAAACAGCCCCGGTCTGCTTTTGCCATGCCCAGCCACAGTTAACAATTCGGCAGGTAAACCGAGGGTCATTTATAAGGTTCTACTCATGATAAAGCCTGTCTGCAATCTGCGACAAGACAGCAGAGCGGACATATTAAAGCGATAAGATGCGAGAGCCTGCGTAATTTTACCGTGTTAAAGGCTCATGCTGGGTGCGCACGCAATTTTAAGCTGCTTTCACAATGAACTCTGAATGAATGAAAATTCATCGCTGATGCGGATTTTCGCTGGGTGGAGCCCACCGCAGCGGACCCGCAGGGTCATTTTCCAATTTTGTGTGATGCACTTCAGCCAACCGTCTCAGAGCGGCCAACAGGAGAGCAGCGGGCATGTCTGGTGATTCCTCTCGCTTCCTGAAAGGTTAGTTTTATCAGAAAACGCTGCCCACTTTACGAGCGCTGCGCACACCATGAGTGGCTTGAAAGGGGTCTGAGTTCTACTGAAGTTGTGGTCTGAACAAGAAGTGGTCTGAGATCTCAAAGGACCAGAAAGAAAACTAAGTTCTCATTATGAACACAAAAGAACTGAGGTCATTTGCAGTTGGTTCCCCTTTCAGGTTCACTTTAACAGAACTCAGTTCCGTTCTTTTAAAACGGACTATATGTGAAAACACTGTCAGAGGAAGCTCACCTTGTACACCTCCCCAAAGGAGCCTCTGCCGATCAGGCCCAGGTTGATGAAGCACTGGCTGAAGAAGGACTGCGGCCGGCCGGGGTCGTACAGGGAGCGTGGCGGTGGGTGTTCAATCAGCGCACAAGACAGCGGGGTCCAGGGAGACCGGCGCTGGGGAAACACGCGGCTCAGAGGGGGGCAGCCTTTAGACGGGGGCCGCGGGGGCAGGGAGCGCGAGAGCTGCCGCTGAGGAGACAGAGAGCCCGACGAGGCAGAAGAGGAGAAGGGAAGACGGCGCTTTTTCAGAGAGAATGACTGCTGGGCATGGGAAAAGTGCGCGGGCACTGGCAGCGGAGTGCTGACCATTTCGACTCTCTGGACAGACGGGCTCGGTGCTCCTCACTCGAATCCCATATAAGACCTGAAATACATCACTGTCAAATTTTAAAAATTAATACCACAGTCCATTTATGATGTTGAACCGACACATTTAGCTGATCACTGCAGCCTTCCAAAGGATCCACACCTCTAAAAGGAGCTGTCTATGTTCAGTTTTTATTCTGTTTGAGAAGGTCATTAACTTCACTATGGCAAAGCAAAACATGAACCGTGATATTAAAGGTACCATTTCATGGAAAACTTAATTTGCCTGACTTTTATAAAAACAAAACAGTTTGATATATTTAAATATTGTTAAAGGTTTTTAAAAAATACCACTCGCTTCCCATTCGGTCCATTTATGGAAACTATGCTGCGAACACAGCCCTCCACAAATACTGGCACCCCTGGTAATCATGAGCAAAACAAAAATGTAAAAAAAAAAATTAAAAATATCCTTTACTGCTTATCCTTTTAAACTCTCATTCAAAATATTAACAATAATCTTAACCTTTATTTGCCACAATTGTTGGCACCCCTTTATTTAATCCGTTGTGCAGCCTCACGTTGCAGAGACAATAGTTCTTAGTCTTCTCCTATAATTCTCAATGAGGCTGGAGCACATGGCAAGAGATCTGAGACCATTCCTCCATACAGAACCTCTCCAGATCCTTCAGATTTTGAGATCCAACATCTCTCCTCTTCAGCTCATCCCACAGGTTTTCTATGGGGTTTAGGTCAGGGGGCTGGTGTGGCCGTGGCAGAACCTTAATTCTGCGATCAGTGAACCAATTTTGAGGCGTGTTTTGGATCACTGTCCTGCTGGAAGATCCAAACTATGGCCCAGTTTAAGCTTCCTGGCTGATGTAGTCAGGTTTTGATTTAATATCTGCTGGTACTTGATGGAGTCTGTGATACCATGTATTCCGTCCTCCCAGAAGATTCTTAAACTTCTTAATTACTGCCCTGATAGAGGAAATTGGTGTTTTCAACGGTTTACTATTTTATTGTAGCCGTTTCCTGATTTGTGCAACAACATATCGTCGCACATCACTGCTGTATTCTTTAGTTTTTCTCATAGTGGTGGATGACTGAGGGGATCTGGCCTGTGTTTCATCACTTTTCTATTCCCCAGTGAAATAGAAAGTCATGGCTGACTATTTAAGTGCCCTAAACGCTCAGGTGAACATAAAATATAAAATATGACTGGCAATATACTTCAGTTAGATCTCACTCTTAAGAATTTCTAAGGGTGCCAATAGTTGCCGGAAGACATGCATTAAAAAAAAATATTCATTTCATGACAAGTCTTACAACCAGTATACGTTAAATAAAGGTTACATTTTTGCAAACATTTTGAATGAAAGATCAAAAAAATAAGTAATTAAGATTATTTTTCACAGCTTATTTTGCTTATGATTACCAGAGGTGCCAATATTTGTGAAGGGCACTGTACATATATCCAGCTATGGTACATACATCCGCCCAGTCACACTGAAGTTATAAGGAGTTTTCCAGCACAGACTGCTTTTCGAATGAGGCACAATACAGGTCAGCCAATCAGAACAGAGCTCATTTACATGTATAAGTCTTAAAGGCACAGCAACCAAAACAGCCTGTCTCATTAGAACATAAACGAGATTGGAAATTGTAGCTACTAACAATGAATTAAGAGCGTTTTTGGTACAGAAGTGAGCCAAAAGTGGAAGAATGTAAAAGAAATATATAGGATATGGGTCCTTTAATGTGTCAGAGCAGAACCAGTGAAGCAGGATTTGGGTCTATTCAACTACTACTACTACTTTTAAACCTTCTCCTGTTCCACTCAGGCTGACCTAACAGTAAGCAGGCAAAACTGAGCTGACGTTAGCTAACCTACCAAGCTAACCTGACAAGAAGGCTCCAAACTCCGGGCTGGTTTTGCCTCGTTAAACAGTAAAACGGTTTTTAAGACGCCGTGTAATAAAATAAGCCATTTAATTCACAACCCCCGTGTTTTTAAACAGCTCTCACCGTCAGTACTAATACTAAATATCGTAACGTTCACACATCTGACAGAATCTGCGGGGCTAAAGTCAGCAACTCGTTCGAATTTTCCCGTTCCACCTTAAATGGCGCAGCAGTTACATTCTGGCGCCTCAACCTGAGGCGCCAGAATGTAACTGCAGCACCATTTAAGGTGGAACGGGAAAATTCGAACGAGTTGCTGACTTCAGCTTCGTACGAACACTGAAATAACTCTACTGACAGGCTCAAACTCTGTTTCAACGCCACGAATATCGAGTCATACCCGTTTTTGTGAGTTTTAAGTGAGGTTTTATAGCTATGAAGCTGCTGTATTTCGCTTTTTATCACAATTTTAAAAAACTCACCGTCTTTCCTGTCTTTTCAAAAATCTTCGCCACGCGCCAAAACAGACGATGACGTGATGACGCGTGACACGTAGTGCGTAAGTTACGCAATCACGCACTCCGCGCAAGCTTACTGACGTTTCGTCTATTGTGTGCATACACAGTGTGATATACACCGGTCAGGCATAACATTATGACCACCTCCTTGTTTCTACGCTCATTGTCCATTTTATCAGCTCCACTTACTATATAGGTGCACTTTGTAGTTCTACAGTTACAGACTGTAGTCCATCTGTTTCTCTGCATACTTTGTTAGCCCCCTTTTACCCTGTTCTTCAGTGGTCAGGACCCCCATGGACCCTCACAGAGCAGGTACTATTTGGGTGGTGGATCATTCTCAGCACTGCAGTAACACTGACATGGTGCTGGTGTGTTAGTGTGTGTTGTGCTGGTCTGAGTGGATCAGACACAGCAGTGCTGCTGGAGTTTTGAAACACCTCAGTGTCTCTGCTGGACTGAGAATAGTCCACCAACCAAAAATATCCAGACAACAGCGTCACATGGGCAGCGCCCTGTGACCGCTGATGAAGGACTAGAGGATGACCAACACAAACTGTGCAGCAGCAGATGAGCTATTGTCTTTGACTTCACATCTACAAGGTTGACTGACAAGGTAGGAGTGTCTAATAGAGTGGACAGTGAGTGGACACAATGTTTAAAAACTCCAGCAGCACTGCTGTGTCTGATCCACTCAGACCAGCACAACACACACTAACACACCAGCACCATGTCAGTGTTACTGCAGTGCTGAGAATGATCCACCACCCAAATAGTACCTGCTCTGTGAGGGTCCATGGGGGTCCTGACCACTGAAGAACAGGGTAAAAGGGGGCTAACAAAGTATGCAGAGAAACAGATGGACTACAGTCTGTAACTGTAGAACTACAAAGTGCACCTATATAGTAAGTGGAGCTGATAAAATGGACAATGAGCGTAGAAACAAGGAGGTGGTCATAATGTTATGCCTGATTGGATTATATATTATATGTAAACACGTATGTTTTTTTTTTAGTAAAGTAAGCCTTTTTAGCTTTGCTACACAATACTTGGTATCAGATATTCCATTTAAAAATATTAGTAGTACTACAAATAAAAACATGAATTCAAACACATTCTAACTTCAGGTTAGTAGACATGATACTTTATGTAAGATATAACGATATGCATGTAAATATAACAATATAACTTTATTATACCATACACATGCATTTGTGCACTGACTATAAACTTCAGCTGAATATGATCTAAGAAGTTTAGGTTAGTAGAATTACACTTTATGCAGACATTTAAGATGTCAGTTCTCACTAGTAGGAATTCATGATTCTCACTAGTAGGATTCATCTTTATAGAACTAATAAGAGTAAAAAAGTACAATGGCAAAAACGTAAGAATTCAGTGTTCACGTGTGCAGTTTTCTAGTAAACAAAATTAAGAATTTAAAACATGTAATGATCAGAATTTCAACAATGTGAAAGCTGAATCACCATTCAAATTTAATTCATACTACTAAAAAGCGTAACTTCCATTAAAATGTATAGGGGACAAGTTATGACTTCTTCAATATAATTCATATAAGTAAAAGTTTAATTTCGACATGTCACATTTAAATTTCAATTTGAATATCTGCTGTAAAAAAATAAAATAAAATGGCTCTGGGCTTAAAGGGGAACTCCACTCCACCTCCTATTCTCAAAATTTCTAAATAATTCGGTGTTTGAGATGTAAACAGAGTCATTCAGATTGGTTTGGTGTGAAATGGTTGATTGTAGAGACTCAGATGTCTTTACAGTGGTGGTGATAGGAACCAGGGGTCGCCATGACTACAACACAGATATAGACATTTTATTTACTATCAAAATTCAAAACCACCAGTGAACCTACAGGAGTCTTCTGAGTTTTATATGTAATGTTGATGATGGGAAAATACGTTCAGGGGACTACAAGGGGTCTATTTTCATTTACAATGCCCTGCATGTTGACCTCTGCCATGAATGGATTAAAATAAATGGATTAAAATACATTTTAAGCCAAAACGGACGTCTGGTTCCTATCACCACCACTGTGAACAATTCTGACTCGGTACGTTTCTCTAGAACGGAGCATTTCACACCAGACCACTCTGAACGACTCTGTTTACATCTTTACCATTTAATTATGTAGAAATTTGATAAAATTGGTGGCGTTCCCCTTTCAAGCTGCCTTACCTCCGCCCCCCTCGGGTGCGTAAGTGACGCTCGCTGTACGTAAGTTGCGCAGCTCTGTGGGTGGAGAAGCGGAGCAGCATAAACTTCAGCTATGGTGAGTAATGACAATCCGCAAAACCGAGGAAATCTGCCGATAAAAGTGAAGGCGCGTTTGAATTTAGCCGTTTTTCAGAGTCGATTAACATTTGGGACACGACTCCGGCAAATATTCCTCTAAAACCGTTTGGTATTCAGTGAATACAGAGAGCCGTTCGGCGATTTACTTAGCCAGCAGGATTAGCTTAGCTTAGCTTAGCCTAGCCGCTAATTAGCATTAGCTCCGTCCAAGCGTCAGTTGTTACTGACGCTGCTAACCGACTCACTGGAAGGAGTTGGACGGCAACTGAGACATTTTAGTCATCAATTAGCCACGTTTTCTAACCCTAAAAGGCGATATTATTAAAGCACCGTTAATTTTAAACGTATTACGTTCGACTAGGCTGAAGTTGGGTTTCTATTCGTCAGCGTCTCGTTCGAATTTTCTCGTTCCACCTTAAATGGTGCAGCAGTGACGTTCAGACGCCTCAGGCACCAGAATGTAACTGCTGCACCATTTAAGGTGGAACGAGCAGTTGGTATTTTCGCTTTAAGTTGTCTCCGAAACCGAAACGGAGGGCAGTATTTGTTTTAATGGAAAAGAACTTCCCTTATTAATGTTCAGTCTCAGCAAGACATGACTGTTTAAAAATAGTAACAGATTTATTCTTATATACAATAATGTGGCAGTCGCTGCCTGTGAGGAATATAAGGTGAGCTTTTCATGAAAGTAAATTGCCTTGGGGAAGATATTAACTTAAACGACACACATCCTACATTTAATTTTATTTTTTTGTGGGTTTATGTGTCAGAAACAGCAGCTAGTATTTCATTTTTTGCATTTTGCAACCACTCTTTATCCTTTAGATATAAAGGGGAATTCCACCGATTTTTCAGAATTTCTGTATAATTCAGCGGCTGAGATGTAAACAGTCACTCAGAGTGGCTTGATGTGAAATGGTTCATTTGAGAAGCTTACAGACTCAGATTTCTTTACAGTGGTGGTGATACGAACCAGGGGTCTCAATGTTTACAATGCAAATATAGATATATCTACACGTTTTCTGAGTTTTATATGTAGCGCTGATAATGGTAAAACAGTGAAGAAAGAAAAAAGTTTTCTTCAGGGACTATTTTGCCTTAGAACACCCTTCATGTATCCCTCCACCATGAATGGATTAAGTGTGTTTTATACCAGAACTTTATCACAAAACCACTGTAAAATATCAGACACCAAGTATTCATAACCATGTAGTAACTTTCTGTGAGGGAGCTTTTAGAGGTGGACGTCTGATTCCTATCACCGCCACTGTGAACAGTTCTGACTCTGAAATTGGTTCCCTTTTTTAAAATGCTGTTTCTGTTGCTGTGCCTTTACGACTGATGTATGAACGCCTAAGCCGGATTTCTTTATAAGTCACTGCTGTTGAGGCCTGTGTTTAACAAAATGTTTTTTTACTAGTATGTTTGTTCCACATACATTTTTTTTTTAATTATGAGGTTAATAAGGAGCCAAAAATGAATTTTGCTGCATTCAAGCAACACTGCACTGAACTGACATTATAAGACTAGAAACTACACTGAAATACCCCCCACAAACCAGCAAGCTTTGTTAGGTGTGATAGTTAAGTTGCACTGGCAGCAGTAAAGCACTGTATCTGGTGTTATTATGTAATTGTGTTGAAGTTTTATAGTAGACTTACTTCCATGCAATGTATATTTTGACTACTTAAAGGGAAATTCCACTGATATTTCAAAATTTAAAATTAATTGAGATGGAAACAGGCATTCAGAGTGGTTTGATGTGAAGTGATGCACTGAAGAGAAACCTACCAACTCTGATTTCTGTAAAAGTGGTGGTGTTGGGAATCAGTGTTCACATCGCTACAACACACTTATAGCCATTTTATTTACCTTTCAGGAAGGTTCTGTGAGAACCTATTCATGTTTCCTGTGTTCTTACATGCAGTGTTGGTAATATTAACCCTCTGTTGCGCAATGTTGCCTCAGGGTAACAAACTCATTTTCCTCACTTTACAATAATGTTATACATATTTAAAGACAATGATAGCATTAACAATAAAGAGGAGAGTTTCAGTACGTCAATACAGAGCATGTGCTTGGTCATAGGTCATCTCTTATTGGGCACATTTTAACCTCTTTTTTAACGTTCAGTATCAATTCCTTTTGTTATGAGAATTTGCGTAAATATGTTTGTTGCCTAGAAGCAACACTGCATGATAGTGGAATGGATTTAGCCAGTCATGAGCCAGGTCTCACCACTTCAGGGAACACAGCTCTGTATAATTTCTTCTCATTGTTGCACAATGTTGCGTCAAGCCAACATACTCTAAAATGTTTTTGAATTTAATAAATTCTTTCGAAAAGTGAATGAAATTTTTTTTTTAATTGCTCTCATATTGCGTGCAGTATAGGGTTAAAATAGTTCTTTGAGAACTAATTTGCTGTATAATGCCCTGTTAGTATTTCCACCACATTTTAGGCCAAAAACTAACAGTAAACAATGTTTAAGGCATTAGGCAACATATTTGCAACCATTTAGTGAGAGAACTTTGAGAGGCATTAAACTCTAGGGACGTCTGGTTCCTGTCACCACCACTGTGAACAGTTCTGAGTCTCTCTAGAACAGAGCGGTTCACACCAAACTGCTCTGAATGATTCTGAAAGATTTATTTATGCAGAAACGTTTGGAAATCAGTGGAATTCCCCTTTGTGGCTGTGTCGGTACATGAACACTGAATACGCAGAAACTTAAGCTGTATTTCTGTGCTTCTACACTGGCTGCGTTTATATGCAAAGATTTTTACCAATCTGATTAAATATATTCTGATTATAGATTCAGACTGAGGTGTTTATACTCACTCTACTCAACAATCTGATAAAATCTCTGTTTTCATGCTCACTACAAGTAATCAGATCCAGAATGACGTGCATGTGTAGAGAACCGCTTAAACATTACCATGACAACCAGCATCCAGAGTCCAGTCAGAGTGAGATGAGCAGCAGTGAGCAGTGCTTGTGTTTTTAATTCCTTTAAAATGATGTCAGACTCAGGAAAACGTCCTTCACATGTCCTTATTAAAGAAGGCCGAGAGGAAGACGTCGTGTTCTGAGACACATAAGCTGGACGTCCGTCCCACCGCTGTCTTTTAAAGATCAGAGCATAAACTTCGTCTCCTCTGCAGACCAGTTTCTGCTCCACCATGTTGAATGCTGTAACTTTCCGATTGGGAATGTAATCAGATACAGGTGTTTACATGGATATTATTCTTCTATTTAACAGATTATTTACAGGATTACCCGCCTCGTTCAGTCGGATAGGAATTGTATTCTGAATGGCCTCAGTTGAACTAGTCTATTCTGATTGAGGTGTTTACATGGATGTGTTCTGTTCCGATTGAGCTATTAGTCGGATTATTAACGGATTATCAGGCTGCATGTAAACTGTTGATAGTCGTTTCTAGAAAGAGCGCATGCAGGTATATATGTCTGTGTCATTCTTCCAAGCAATTCAGAGTAACAAGCTGAACTGTGGCTTCATCAGAGTGCTGTCCTCTAAACTAGACCCAAGTGCAGTGATAGTTTGTCAGTTTACCTTGTTGGGAACATTACAGGGTTATTGTGGGTACACAGTCTGTAGGCCACAAGCCGTGATAAGAAACTGTGATAAGAGTATTTCAAATAAAGCTGTCTGAACTAAATGTCTCTCTGTCTCTCTCCCCAGGACGTGTTTTTAATGATTAGGCGTCATAAGACAACAATCTTCACCGACGCCAAAGAGTCCACTACCGTTTATGAGTTAAAGCGCATCGTTGAGGGGATCCTGAAGAGGCCGCCTGAAGACCAGAGGCTTTACAAGGTATGCAGTGGTGCTTCACTACACACACAAAATGTTCTAAATGACCTAGCACGCTCAGCAATCTTTTCATAGCTACTGTTTTGAGTTTGGATTCGCAGCATTATATACACGTACATCTCCATTTTCCTCAAAATATGTAAATGTAGATTATGAAAGTCTCAGAGAACACTGTGTAAAGTATTAAAAGTGTGTGTATGATACTAAATGTTCTATTATACATCCAGAAAGGTTTGGAAGAGAAAAAAAATCAAGATAGAAATATAAAACATGGCTTATCTAAGCTTAATAGGTGTGGTCCTAATACTCTAATGAGCTCATGTGATGGTCAGAGGGCTGTCAAACACTCCTAGTCTGCTACACCACTAAAGCAGAGCACAACAGCATGAGCAACATGGAGAGAAATGAGTGAAGACCAGTGCATTACAGTTATTTATTATGGCCCACTCCTTATTCTTCAGTGATGGGAAGCTGAAGTCAGCTATTCGCCAGCTTCTTGTTAGAATTTTCCCGTTCCACCTTAAATGGAGCAGCAGTTACATTCTGGTGCGTCGGGCGTCAGAACTGCTGCACCATTTAAGGTGGAATGAGGAAATTAGCTAGCTAGCTACCAAAACATCAGCATACTACTAGTGATTTTTTTTAACGCTTATTATGAAGAAAACAACCATAATACATTGAAACGACATTAAGCTAAGATAATACAGTGGTTATTATAATTTTTTAACAGAGAAAATTCTCACATTTGTGGGTTTCTTTGGTCGCAATTTGGGCATTAATCTGTGTTCACGCTGGAGTTGAAGTGTCCCAAGTCTTTTCTTCATATTGGTGACAGATTTGTATTTGTGACAGTGTGAACAGCAAAAACCCACTGAATTGGACAGTTTTGGTTCTGATTGGGGTCACTTTACGGGGTACTGAAGTCTGATACACATGCGATCATGCGACTTTTTTGTTAGTCCAACTCAACGTTTGTCAAAATTCCCTGCTGGCAAGAATAAACTTCCTGTGATGTCAACAAAATGCGTGTTACCATGGCTGTGGTCCCTGTATTTTATTTTAGAGGACAAGTGAGAACCACAGGCGGTGTAAGTAGAAACATGACTCAGTCTAATGGAAGAAATCAGCTGAACAGCAAAATCACATTTTACTTAATGGATGTTTTGGGTGGACAATAGTCTTAGTTCTTGTTTCTTGAGGACTGTTTGTCCTCCAGATTTAAACTTGCCGTGTCGCTGATTTGTTGCAGCTGGTGTGTTGCACTGCAAATTATGCTTCCAAAAATACTTGTCAGCACCATCTTGTGGACAAGGAAAAACAATGTACTTTGGTGTTCTGTTATTCTGTTAGTTTACCAATGGGTACATATTCAATTGATTGTTTTCTCCCACCCATATTGTGTCCATCATCCAGTAAGACGCTATTTGACAGCTGGTGCCACTGTACAGTGCCATTGTACCAGTGCAGAAGCTTGGCAACTTGGCCTCATTGTGTTCCCTGTATGTGTGTTTCAGGATGAGCAGCTGCTAGAAGACAGTAAAACACTGGGAGACTCCGGTTTCACCAACCAAACAGCCAGACCACAGGCTCCAGCTACAGTAGGATTAGCCTTCCGCATCAGCGGTATGTCTCAGTCTTCCTCCTAGCTTTGTCATCTGCCTTTGAGTAATAATGTTATATTGTCAAAACTTATCCTGCATAATTGTAATAATTCAGGTCATACAGTTACACCAAAAGACACAGTGTAAAAATTCACTAATTTGCAAGTGCTAAGTGAAGCAGTGGGTCAGCATTAATTGTTCTCAGGTTTTTTTTTTCATATGTAATCCTGATGTCTGTGGGTACCAGTAATTCTAAAACTTGGGGCAGCTTGCCTGGTTATAATTCTTTGAAAATAATTCTGATAATTTGATAAAAGTAAGTTAAAATAAAATAAACTAAAATTAACCTGGCCCTGAAATTGATAAATGAATATGTATTAAATGACAAAGACTAGATTATAAGTTAGTAGTTGGTCTGTCCACCATTGTATACATGGATAATCTGGTTGCTAAGAAGTCACAACAAAACATTTCAGGAAGTAAACACTAAGAACTGTAATCTAAACCGTAACTATCCCAGCACCACCACTATTGTTCGGTACGGAAGTTTACTATTGTTCCCTTTAATTCCCTCTTTTACTGCAGACTTTTATTCTTAAACACTTTTCTCCTGGCTTATTAATTAAGCTATTAAACATAAGTCTTAATATTTAGTGCACATTATTCAATAACTATTAGGACTGCACAATATATACAAAGCTGTGCTTCTGCATTTATATTGATGCATGCAGTGTCTGCAATACATATTCCAGGATATTAATCCACTTTGAGGAATCAGTCCCTGTACATGATTAAATATTTCCCTACATTGTTGTAATATAAATAATTAGAGACGCATTATATTGGAATCCCATCAGTACTGTCATCTTAATATTTGATGGTTTATTTATTCAACTCCAGGAGAGCAGAAAGTTCAGGCGGTGGTGGGCTAATACAAAAGTCTGCATTTCATTCATTTCACTGCATTCATAGCCGACTGCCGGAGGGGCAGTCGTGGGCTGGAGGTTAGGGAACCAGCCCTGTGACTGAAGTGCCCTTGAGCAAGACACCTAACCCCCAACTGCTCTCCGGGCAAGTGTCCCAGGATAGGGCTGCCCACCTCTCTGGGCAGGTGTGCTCACTGCCCCCTAGTGTGTGTGTTCACTAGTGTGTATGTGGTGTTTCACTGCATGGATGGGTCAAAATGCAGAGATGAAATTTCCTGGTTGTGGGACTAATAAGGGTCCTAAATGTTATTGGAAAAGACAAAGTCATTTATTTTCAACACTGCGCATAATGCGCTGCACTGAATCCACATAATCAGGTCTAATTATGCTCTCTTTGTAGTCAAATATGCAGTTGGAAATTGTTTTTAGGTACTGACAATATCCACAATGTGCTCAGAAAAGCATATTGTGACGTGTTTCATATATATATATATATATATATATATATAATGTGTGTGTTACTAACATGTAATAGTTTACTAAATTAAGCTGTTATATAAAAAGTAGTGGGGGGGGGGAACTTGTGTTACTTAGCCCTGGTTTCGGAGATGCTTATCTTAATATGATCATTCTCTTTCTTTCTCTCTTCTCCTCTATAGATGATGCGTTTGAGCCCCTGCAGGTGGAGCCGTTCTCCAACCCTCCAGAGCTTCCTGACGTCATGAAGCCTCAGGACTCTGGCAGCACGGCCAACGAGCAGTCAGTGCAGTAAGAGCGGACAGAAGAGAGGAATGAGTGGAGGAAAAGAGGAGGAGAAGAACCGAGTGCTCTGTTACACGGAAGGGTCCAATACACCCGGACTGAGTACTTAAAGGGGTTTAGGGGTTTAATAAAACCAAACGGGGCATATTGTCACCCGCAGTCGAACTGAACTGAATCCGCCACTCCTCAGTGTGTCCACACAAACCTACACAAAGAAATCCAATTTAATGTTATATAGACCATGTAATTTACTCATTCAGGACTGAGGCTCATTTCAATCTCACTGACTTCCAGCGCACTGGCTCCACTGACTGACCTCATTTTCTTTCAGCCGAACGACACTGGGCTTCTTTAGCGTGTAGCTGTGCATCTAAAAGGCTGCTGTCACCATTTGTGTTGTTAGTTTACTTCAAAAGAAAAAAAAACAATAGAAGAAAAGGACGAGAAAAAGCGGTCGACTCTTACACTTTTGGGCTTTGACATGTTCTGTTATTGGGCCAAGTTGTGGATATGCTCGAGAATTTACATTTGAATTTGTGTTGAAAACGTGTGGGTTTCTTCTCTTTCTTTTTGGAGAGAAAGTTTTTGGCTTTGCTCATTTTATATATCTCAGTCTAGCCCTAAACTGATGAATAGTGCATTATCTAATTTATCTTTTTTTTTGTTTGTTTGTGATTTAAGCATTTAGGAAACAACCCTTTTAGGCGGTTATATTAAATCATAATTTTACACAATTCAAGTTCACATTTCCTCATTTATTTCTGGTAGTGTGTCTAGTTAGTGCTTGACTGCATTTCATGAGCTAACTCACAATTAAAGATGAAAATTTAAATGTACAAAAAAAACAAAGAACAGGCAACTTTAAGGTTTCTAGGTGGCTGTTACTTCTGTTTTTAGCTGTGCGACACTTTCGTCCATTTTCATAGACAAAATCATGTCACACAGTGTCAGAAACCTCACAGGCAGGTCTGTTTGAGATTTACTTAAGAAGGAATTACACGAATTTTTCAAACACACTGCATAATTAAATACTTAAGAAGTAGTTATTCAGAGTGTTTTGATGTGAAAGGCGCCATCCTAGAGAATCTCACTGAGTCACAGTTGCTCATAGTGGTGGTAATAGGAACCAGACGTCTGAAGAGTTTAATTACTGTCAGGTTTGGTTTCCCAGACAGGGATCAAGTCTAGTTCTGGACGAGTTTCAATGGAGAGTCTCCCTTCAGAATGCTGTGTAGTCTAATGCTATTCTTAACCCAACCCGAAATCCCCACGTCAGTAAAAAGTTTGAGTGGAATGGTTATGAATACACTGCCTGGTGTCTGACACATGATTTAATGATAGTCTTGAGAAGCTTTTGGCTTAAAATGTTTTTTTTTTTGTTTTGTTTTTTTTTAATATGTTTATGGTGGAGGGGTACATGCAGGGGGTTGTGAAGCAAAAGAAAACTTTTTTATTCCCTGATTTACTATTAGTTTACCATCAACATTACATATAAAACTCAAAAGACACAAATAGGTTCTGGAGGTTTTTGGAGAGCGAATAAAATGGTGTTGTAGACATGGTGACCCCTGGTTCCCATCACCACCACTGTAAAGAAATCTGAGCCTGTAGGTTTCCCTACAATGAGCCATTTCACATCAAACCACTCAGAATGACTTTGTTTACATCTCAACACATTTTGGTAAAGTTACCTTTTTATAGTTCAACAGTTTCTAAATGTGCGATTTAGAAAGCAGCTTGGTAAATATTGGTGGACTTCAAGCTTCCAGTACTTAGCTACATTAGCCTTATAGCTCGAGTGACAAGCTAAAGAAGCAAACTTCAGATGCCAAACGTGTCTTGATAAGGAGATGGGGGTGGGTATTTTTTTTTTTACACTTCCTTTAAAGGTTATGTTGTATGTTTTGCATATTAGGAACATAATTGTACAGTTAACTGCGAATCCCTATTTTACAGCTTGTATTAATTTGCTGTATTAGGACATACACAATGGGACAAGTCTATATTACAGACCTTACTTGTGCTCTTGGTGTCTGGAGACCAAAGAGGTTTTATGAAGACAAGTAAAGGAAGCCAGGATGAGAATAATTAATAAAAATAAATCAGTAAAATAACCGTTTCAGTATGATTCCCAAATCAGCCTCTTCTTACTAGTGTAACTAGTGCTTCAGTGAGAGAGCGAATGGATTTGTAAACCCAGAAAAAGTACTGAAATGATTGAAGGAAATCCTTTCATTTGTGGAGACCATGGTCCACTAGGTCAGCCCAGAGAGCAGATACGCAGCAAAGACCACATGCACAAAATTACCCTTGCAAAAAGCATTATATATTGTATTATATTAGAAATGAGATACAAATCAGAAGCAGCCAGCTGTTGGTTGGCTCTGTGTTCCAGTGCATTGTATTTAACATGAAGCACTGACAAGTTAAATGGTAGATTGTCTGCTTTAATTCAAGGGTTTGTACATCTATTTTGGGGTGACTCATGTAGGAATGCTTGGTAAGGGTGGGTGATACTGCAAAAATACCAACATTATGATGTATTTTCATACACTGATCAGCCTTAGCATTAAAACCACCTCCTTGTTTCTACATTCACTGTCCATTTTATCAGCTCCACTGACCATTTAGGAGCTCTTTGTAGTTCTACAATTACAGACTGTAGTCCATCTGCATACTTTGTTAGCCCCCTTTTACCCTGTTCTTCAGTGGTCAAGACCCCCACAGGACCCCCACAGAGCAGGTACTGTTTTGGTGGTGGATCATTCTCAGCACTGCAGTGACACTGACGTGGTGGTGGTGTGTTAGTGTGTGTTGTGCTGGTGCGAGTGGATCAGACACTGCAGTGCTGCTGGAGTTTTTAAACACTGTCCACTCTATTAGACACTCCTACCTTGTCAGTCCACCTTGTAGATGTAAAGTCAGAGACAATAGCTCGTGTTTTTGGTTGGTGGACGGTTCTCAGTCCAGCAGCACTGCTGTGTCTGATCCACTCGCACCAGCGCAACACACACTCCACCACGTCAGTGTCACTGCAGTGCTGAGAATGACCCACCACCCAAATAGTACCTGCTCTGTGGGGGTCTTGACCATTGAAGAACAGGGTAACAAAGTATCAGAGAAACAGATGGACTACAGTCTGTAACTGTAGAACTACAAAGTGCTCCTGTATGGTCAGTGGAGCTGATAAAATGGACAGTGAGTGTAGAAACGAGGTGGTTTTAATGTTATGGCTGATCAGTGTGTGTGTGTGTGGTGTCATAATATTTGTGTTTACTGAGAATTTGCAAGCAGGTTTGAACGGACTTGGCAAAAATAAACTGTTTAAGAAGAAACTGGAGGAAAAAAATCTGATAATTTTTACAAAATAAATTCAAATATGATGTCATAATGGGCTGACGTCCAATAAGCTACATGTTAGTATGCAGTTGGTATAGTAACATGTAGCTGATTGGATGTCAGACTATTATGACATCATCTTTTTTTATTCATTTACAACTACACACTGGTTGACGTTTACATGCTCTGTGACTGTATGAAATAAGCAGCTGGGTGTTCTAGAATTGATGTAATCTTACAACTTAGGGGACTGAAAGTAACCGGACACTTGTTTCTTGTCTTGCTGCCGTGTTAGTTCAAGAAAGAGCTGACAAAAGGCCGAGAGTGGATTCTACTTGTGGTACTTGTATCATAGAGACCTGTTGATAGTATCAGAGCCGGTTAATGAGGAGCCTGGCCACTTCCTATTTCCCCCGTTATATCAAAAACAGGACTGCTAGACAGCAGAGGGCGCCCGCGAGCGAGTCCTCAGTGAATGGGAGTAAATGGAGCTCAACGGCTTTAAACGAAAGTTAAAATAGTTTCTAATAACTTATTCAGAACTTTCCTTTAATTTGAGAAAGTAGAAGGATGTGTTTCACTAAAAAAGCAAAGAAAACTCACCCGTTTGTTTCCTTTTTTCCACAGCAAACGGGTTTTGGGCAGCAGAACGCTGGCATTACTGCTACTGAGTGCTGATTGGTTAGCATTACTGCTACTGAGTGCTCATTGGTTGGCGAGCGGAGCAGCTCATTGGCTGTTCGCGCTCACAGACGTCATTGACGTACAGGCACTGTTTTAAACTGCTATAGCTCGAGTTCAAAACCTCTTAAAAATATAACAGCAGTGTTAAAATGTTTAATCCTGTTCTGTGTTCAGGAAATGAATGATTGATTAATTTTACATTAAAAATGTTTCAGCATTTATAAACTATGATTTTGCTCAAATGCTTCATCTTAACCTATTCATTTTGGACTCACTCGGGAGCGCCCTCTAGCGTTTGAGAAACTTAGAAGACATTACAGAGTGGAAATTCCAGAGAACTTGTACAGAGGAGAAAGGAGAAAGTTCTGGGCAAGTGATTAGAAACTATTTTAACTTTTCGTTTTTAGCCGCTTAGCTCCATTTACTCCCATTCATTGAGGACTCGCTCGCGGGCACCCTCTGGCATTTTGCAGTCATGTTTTTGATATAATGGTGGAAATAGGAAGAGGCCAGGCTCCTCATAACCCAGCTCTGGTCTCAACACGAGGGCTGAAGGAAGAGTCGATGCCAGGACAGCAGGCTGAAATCAACATAAAGTCAGAGACAGAGCCACAGCATTAGACGTGTCAAATCTGGCCAGAGAAACCAACTGCTTTGTATGTTGTCAGGACTCAAGAATGCACTGGTGAGATGAGCAATAATAAAAGACTTACAGCAGTGGATGACCGTTTCAGTCATGAAGGAAAAACGTGTCAAACACAACTAAGTACACCAGCATGACCTCGGAGCGTTCAGCATGTGACTCAATGACTAAAAATACATGAAAGCACTCTGGAACAAAGTCTTATGAGCTGAAACGTTGAAGATTAACTTCTTAATCTTTATCTCAACTCCCTATAAAACACTTCTAGCAACAGAAAGACATGGACAATTGTGTCACTGTCTAAATATTGCAGATTAGTTCACTGATAACATGAGATCTGAAGTCTATAGTATGGAGAGGAATTCGTGAAAAGCAGCTACTGCAGTGGAAACGTGAAATGCAACGCACACATGACATCATTTTTCCATAGTGACATGCAGAGAAAACAAGCCCTCTATTACACTGCTTTCATGTCACTTTTGCAATCTGTACTGAAAAACATTGCAGGAGGATCGCATTTTAAAAAATCCAGAATTTGTGTCAGAATTGAATACAATCTGCCTTGAAATGTAATAAAGCCAGGAAAATATTGCAGAACTTTAAACAACATTAAAACAATGTAATCTTTTAATGCATCTTTTAATGTTGGCACATTTGGTTGCATTTCAATGAGCCAAATACATTTGAAGTGCAAAAAAGAAGTCAAACAACGTGGAAACAGTGTAATAGAGGGTTTGTTTTTCATTTTGGCACATATTCGTCATGTCACTATGGAAAAACGTCATGTGTGCACTGCATTCCACTGTTTTCACTGTTATGACTGCACCTCAATGAGGCAAGTCAGTTTAGAGTACCGCAAAACAGCCGTGCATTCATTACATTTTAAAGTGGATTGTATTCAGTTCCGACCAGTTCAGCAGTTCATTTTAAAATTAAAAGTATGTGAAATGAAAACAATGTAAAAGAGCAGGGGTGTCAGACTCAACCACTGAAAGGGCCTTATTAAGAAATCTCAACAAATCTGTGGGCCAGAGAACGCCTCTGTTTTTTAATTCATTTTTAATTAACATTTTGCTGTGAAGGGCGGCACGGTGGCGCAGTGGGTAGCGCTGTCGCCTCACAGCAAGAATGGCCTGGGTTCGATTCCCAGCTGGGTGACCAGGGTTGTTTCTGTGTGGAGTTTGCATGTTCTCCCCGTGTCTGCGTGGGTTTCCTCCCACAGTCCAAAAACATGCAGTCAGGTCAATTGGACGTGCTAAATTGCCCCTAGGTGTGAGTGTGTGTGTGTGGATGTATATGTCTGTTTGTCTGCCCTGCGATGGACTGGCGACCTGTCCAGGGTGTATCCTGCCTTCCGCCCGATGACAGCTGGGATAGGCTCCAGCACCCCACCGCGACCCAGAAGGATAAGCGGTTTAGATGATGGATGGATGGATGGATTTTGCTGTGAACTGAACTGACCATTGTTTATTCAAAATACACAAAAACGTCAACAGTAAATTATAGACACTTGTAGTAGGCCTTGAAATATTACATGGACACTTGGACATTTTAAATGTCCCCAGGAGCTCAGACTTTTAAACCTACCTATTTGCTTGAACACCTGAAATCCTGTCTTTTACTGCAAGTTCATTAAGACTTGGGCTCAATTTCTGAGCTGCAATTAATTGTTTGCTGATATGACTGGTGTGGAATTGTGTAGAATTGTGTAGAACTGAGGTGTAACCGCTGTCCCGAATTTTTGGAGTAGGAGAGTCAGAGCACATTACAGTGCACGTTGCAGTGCATGCTGGGGACTGTAGTGCAGCGCACTGTGAAACAGGCTAATATTAATAGAAAATTCAAATACTTTTGTGGGCCAGACAGGATTGTGGTCCACAGGCCTTGTGTTTGACACATGGGTAATAGAGGGTTTGTTTTTCTTTTTGGCACATATTCTGCATGTCACTATTGAAAAATGTCATGTGTGCTTTGCATTTCATGTTTTTTCCACTGTAACGACGGCTTTTCAATCAGGCATGAATTCCTTTCCGTACTGTAGAAGAACCTTTTTTGGATACAACCAAATGCTGCAAGCAAATTTGGATTTTGCAGAAAATGAGGGGCTGTAGGATTTTTCTTTTGGCCCAGTAAATAAACAGCTCTAGATCCAACATAGCTGGCATTTGACGCTATGGAAACCCCCCGGAAGGACATGGGTATAAAGATGACATGGGTTTTTCTATAAAAAAATGTCTTGGGATAACTGTTCTGAGAAAATTATCTCGAGATAATTTTATAAAGATAAAATTATCAGGCAATTTTGCATAAAAGGCTTAAACAAGCAGAGGCCGAAGATCTTCTGCATAAGAAGACATCCAGCACCTGGTGCTGGTATCTGAGACTTCAGGATGTGAAAGCAGAACTTCTCTGATCAAATACATGTGTCATGGACTTCTGCTTGTTCTATCTGAAAGGGGAACTTCACCATTTTTTCAAAAGTTCCACATAATTGAATGGTTAAAATATAGAGTCATTCACAGTAGTTTGATGTTAAAGGCTCCGTTCAGAATTGCTCACAGTGGTGGTGATAGGAACCAGACGTCTGAAGAGTTTAAGGCCTCTAAAAGCTCCCTCACAGACAGTTATTATACAAAAATGGTTATGAATTCACCGCCTGATGCCTAAACATTGTTTTGCGATAAAGTTTTGGCCTAAAACGTCGTTAATCCATTTATAGTGCAGAGTGTCCTGAGGAAAAATAGTCCCCAAAGAAAACCTACTCAGATTTTACCATCATCAACATTACATATAAATCCAGAAGACTCGTGTAGGTTCACTGGTGGTTTTGAGTAGTAAATAAAATGTCTATATTTGTGTTGTAGTCATGGTGACCCCTGTTTCCTATCACCACCACTGTAAAGACATCTGAGAACTTTCTCTACAACGAACCGTTTCAGACCAAACCACTCTGAATGACTGCATTGCAACGAGGGAATTATGCAAAAACTAAAAAGAAATTCTGAAAAATCGGTGGAATTCCCCTTTAGGTTTTCAGGCTTCGGTTCAACTGGGGTTGGACAGAAGAGGCTCGTCGTGTTTATTAGTCATTTAGTGCGCACAGCCAGGCTCTTGTGTGCCACAGAAGACACACCAAGCCTTCTGCTGTGTAACTTTCTCGTTATAACGTGTTAAATCTCAGAGGTGGTGCTTCTCGTTCACCCCTCAGAAGCTGAGGCGAGCAGTTAGCCTATGCTAAGCTAACGGAGGCGGCGGCTCTGCGGTGTTTTAACGGCATTCCTTCGTGTCCCCAACCGGTTAATAAACGTTAATTCCGCAACAGAAACGGCAGAAAAGCCTGACAACAACTTCGCTGCCCTGTTTCTCCAGACTGTACCCGCCGGCTGACTCCGCTCTGCGCCCCCGTTTCTACCGACGAGGCCAAATATGGGCTAGGAATGCGCGCGGTGACGCCGCTCGGCGGGGAATTGGAGGGGCGTGGCCTATGGATATAACCACTCCCCTTCCCGCTATGACAGACGCAGCAGGACTTTGGCCCCGCCCCTCCAGCGCCGGCCGAACAGTTATGCTTACCCAGCAGTTACATACACAGAAAATTAGAAACTCTACAGTTTTCTTTTACAATTAAAATGCAAATATTCAACGCTCATTGTCCATTTTATCAGCTCCACTTACTATATAGGTGCATTTTGTAGTTCCACAGTTACAGACTGTAGTCCATCTGATCAGACACAGCAGTGCTGCTGGAGTTTTTAAACACCTCAGTGTCACTGCTGGACTGAGAATAGTCCACCAACCAAAAATATCCAGCCAGCAGCGTCCTGAGGGCAGCGTCCTGTGACCACTGATGAAGGACTAGAGGATGACCAACACAGACTGTGCAGCAGCAGATGAGCTATTGTCTCTGACTTTACATCTACAAGGTGGACTGACAAGGTAGGAGTGTCTAATAGAGTGGACAGTGAGTGGACACAGTGTTTAAAAACTCCAGCAGCACTGCTGTGTCTGATCCACTCAGACCAGCACAACAGACACTAACACACCACCACCACGTCAGTGTTACTGCAGTGCTGAGAATGATCCACCACCCAAATAGTACCTGCTCTGTGAGGGTCCATGCGGGTCCTGACCACTGAAGAACAGGGTAAAAGGGGGCTAACAAAGTATGCAGAGAAACAGATGGACTACAGTCTGTAACTGTAGAACTACAAAGTGCACCTATATATATATATATATATGCACATGTGAACAACTCTCCAACATACACCAACAATATTTGTTTTAACGTTTCTTTGTTACACTTCCATATGATTAAATTTGTTATTAGTGTTACTGCATGTAGAGATGATGTCATTTTCTTGGCAAAATATTTTCTGCACAAATATAGAATACTAAAGCCCCTTCTCTGTTTTTGATCTTTAAAAGGGAACTTCTTCTTTTTGTGCAGTCTTTAATGAAGAGTACATATAGCTGTAAGCTTGTGTTATTTATACAGGAAACATGACATTTTCTAAGCTATATATTACCACGACATCCCTTCTCTCCTTTCCCCCTTTGTCTTTCTTTTGTGTATGTATTTATTTGTTTTATTTGATTTGAGAGCCTCCTTGTAGAAAAAATGCTCATTAGACGAATTCTAAAGAGCAACTCAATTAACAGCTTCTTTACAAACACTGAAGTCCCTGCTAAAGCCTGAGTAGACTGATAAATCAATGTGATGATCAGTTATTAATCTCAGTGTTACTGAGCTCTGCTAAAGCCTGAGTAGACTGATAAATCAATGTGATGATCAGTTATTAATCTCAGTGTTAATGAGCTCTGCTAAAGCCTGAGTAGACTGATAAATCAATGTGATGATCAGTTATTAATCTCAGTGTTACTGAGCTCTGCTAAAGCCTGAGTAGACTGATAAATCAATGTGATGATCAGTTATTAATCTCAGCGTTACTGAGCTCTGCTAAAGCCTGAGTAGACTGATAAATCAATGTGATGATCAGTTATTAATCTCAGTGTTACTGAGCTCTGCTAAAGCCTGAGTAGACAGATAAATCAATGTGATGATCAGTTATTAATCTCAGCGTTACTGAGCTCTGCTAAAGCCTGAGTAGACTGATAAATCAATGTGATGATCAGTTATTAATCTCAGCGTTACTGAGCTCTGCTAAAGCCTGAGTAGACTGATAAATCAATGTGATCAGTCATTAATCTCAGCATTACTGAGCTCTGCTAAAGCCTGAGTAGACTGATAAATCAATGTGCTCAGTTATTGATCTCAGTGTTACTGAGCTCTTTTGAAAGACGATCAAACTAATAATCTCCTCAATACTGAACATGTTTGAGGGTAATATGTTTTACATTAGTGTTGTACTGAACTCAGGGGATTGTGGGAGCCGCAGTGGACTGAAGCAGGCGGTGAGAGAGGAAAAAGAAGTAAAACAATTTTTGTTGTGAGTTAAGAAAAAAAGGTTTTTTATTCCAAATGCCTTAACAAGATGTATTACAAATGCATTCTAAATCTATTTTAAATGTTACTTTATTATGTAATGTAATAAAATATGTTACTGAACGCATTCAGAACTGTGTATTCAGTATTCAGCCATCACTACCTTCCCATCTCTTCTGCTTAAATTGAAAAAAAAACAAAAAACAGTCACGTCATCGTTCTTAGCAACGCCCCTCCGTCTCCATTTGAACCGTACTATTTGGCCACGCCCCTCCCCCCGCCGTCTCCGCGGTAACAGTGGGCGGGACTAAGGAGCAACCCCGCCCTTCTTTTCCTCCTCTCTCTCCCTTTCTGGCTCTCCACAGTCCTGGACTAACGGAGCTGCTCAGGATAAGGGAGTTTAAAACAGCCTGAGAATAAAAACTACAGACCACATTCAGCCACTTTCCACTCTCCTGCCTTTCCCTTCATCTGGACGGCAGATAAAATATAGAATTTGCCATGGAGGATCTGGGTATGTACTCCTTTTTTTCCCTTTCTCTGTCCATGAAGAGGGCTTGGGCAGTTTCTCTATGCTTCTCCATGACTCTGGTTGGCACAGAAAATGATGAGGAAGAAGGGAGGGGGCAGAGAGCTGAGAGAAAAGTGTATGGCTCACATAAAAAAAAACAGTTTTTCGTATCAAATTAACAGCATGTGACCCATTTGTCCCCAAGACTGTGTAATAGACTGTTACAGGCCAGAAGAGCTTGGCTGTTAGACTGACCACAGATGCACAAGCATCTGTCCTAACACGCGTGGAGCCTAAACTTCATGAGCCGAAGTATTTCTCAAAAAGCTGCGGTCTGCACTACATGGAGGTTAGTCCGACTCCAGAATAGAGCGCGCGCCCTGGCCCGGCCACATCTGGTAGCATTTGGCAGGCACTACATCTGAACGCTCAGACAGAGACCAGGCCAGAAGTTTCAGGACTTTTAGGACTGACCACAACTCCGCCTCAGACACAATCAAGTTTGATTAAGCGATTAGATCCAGGCCTACTGGAAATCCTCAATGGAGGATCACGGTTTGGTGGCCCGAGGTGGGCATTGGTCAACTGATTTAACCCAGCGCTTCTGTTCAGCTTCTGTTTAGCATTTAAAAAATGTTCTAAAGGTGACAAAAAGGGTTCTTAGGAGTGGTGCCACAGAAGAGCCTTTCAGTAGATGGTTCCGAAACCATTCATGGTGTAGAAGAACTGGAGAAGAACCAAAAGTGGCTCTTCCATGGCATTGCTCCAAAGAACCCTTTTTTGGGACGCTTATTTTTAGGAGTGTACTTTTTAAATATTTTGTCATTATTGTGATATATAATGTCACAATGTGCTTCGTCAGTATCATTAGTATTTAAAAAACACTGACTAGCTACATGTTTCACTACAAAGTGAGCATAATTAGGCCTTTTAAATTAAATTTAGTGCAGCGCAGTTTGTAAAACATTAAATAAATATCATTCTCCTTCTTCATCTTCTTCTTCTTCTTCTTCTTATTATTATTGTAGTATTTTCATACATTACAGACTCTATTTTGTCTGTTCCAACTCACGAAAAACTAAATATTGTGATGCATATGATGTATTATGAAAATAGAAGTAATGTCATATAACTTTTTGCTCTCAAGCCCAGAGAAATCGCAGTGTTTCTATACACTGTTCAGTTGTGGGGTTTTTTTGTGTCCCAACTGCAGCCCAGAGGAGATGGGCTTCCTTTTTTGAGTCTGGGTTCCTCTCAGTACTTATCCTACTCAATAAATATTGATTTTGCAGCATATTGATTGTGAAACGTTGAAATGATATCAATACCCTTTTTCCACAGTATTGATTTTTACCCATTTAGTTAAATTCTACCCACTAGCTAAGCCCACGCTTCCTCCAAGACATAAAATCAGCCATCGCTGCTCTTTTTTTTCAACCTGCCAATTCTGTTTGCTTGCATTGTGCTGAGTGATGGGGGGAGTGGACCATCCTACCCACCCAGAGAGCGAGACTGATTATACTCTCTTGTGTTGGGCATTGGTCTGCAGGCCATGGATGACTGTGGCATCACTGGGATCGAACTCACAATCTCCCAACAGTAGGGCCAACGGTCAGACGGTGGCACCGCCTGGGAGACCACAGTATCAACTCTATCCATGTCCTGCTCACACATTGTTCTGAAAGCTAGGCCCCTTTTTTCTCTATGTAGTATTCATTGTTGTATTCATTGCCTTATTCTTTATTCATTTTGCTCTTGTTGTGTTATTGCTTTGCTGTCCGATGTCGATCAGAGGAGGATGGGTTCCCCTTTTGAGTCGTGGTTCCTCTCAAGGTTTCTTGCTCTGGGAGTTCTTCCTTGCCAGCGTGGCCTATGACTTACATTTCTGTAAAGCTGCTTTGTGGCAATGCCTGCTGTAAAAAGTGCTGTACAGATAAATTTTAATTGAATCGAATTGAATTAGAGATGGGCAATATGACAATATTTTGTCATTATCGTGATAAATAATGTCACAGTGTGCTTTGACAGTATCATTAGTACTTAAAAAGAACTGACTATCTACATTTCATTACGAAGTGAGCATAATTAGGCCTGTTTAATTGGATTTAGTACAGTGCAGTTTGTAAAACAATGAATAAAAGTCGTTCTTCTTATTATTATTATTATTGTAGTATTTTTATATGTGGCACGATAGATTCTATTTTGTCTGTTCCAACTTCTTAAATCGTGGAAATACTAAATAATGTGATGCATAACGTGTATTGTGAAAATTGAAGTATCATCATATAACATTTTTGCCCTTGAGCCCAGAGAAATCGGAAGTGTTTCTATAAACTTTTCAGTTGTGGTTTTTGTTTTTCCTGATTACCTAAATCTTTAGATGATATTATGCACTGTAGATGGTGACATATTTAAAATCTTTGCAATCGCTTATAGAGAAATGTTGTTCTAAAACAGTTGGACTGTTTGTTGAGGCATGTTTTTTGCAAATTGCCGAGTGACCGGGTCTTTCCTGGATGCTCCTTATATACTCAAGCATGACTGCATCACCTCTTTAAGATTTTTTAACATTTCACAACTTTTCTGTTATTAAAAAAACACTGATGTTGACAAAATGATGCATTAAAAATAATATCAGTGAAGCTTGATTGAGTTTAATCTGATGGAGATTTTCTGATTTTCAGTATTGGGCCCATTTGCTCAAGCACAGCAAATGCTCATATCCAAAATGTTTGGCTGAAAGGGGGTACAATGAAATATGAAAAGCTGCCCTCAGTTTGTACGTGACATGTTTGATCGACCAGAAATATGCTTACTAAGCATTACCGCACATCTGGTTCAGATTGGGCGTCCGGTTGGGCCACGCTCATTTTTTTCTGTCTGTCCGGTCACAGGCTCTGGATGTAGAGCAGAGGCCATAGAGCCTCAATGTGTGTGTTGCTTGGCTAGGTCACGCCAAAGAAGCGGGCAGCTATCTCTAAATATGGTCAGAATTCCTATTGGGAGGAATTTTAGCTCCTTATATGAGCACTGCTGTGTGTGTGTGTGTGTGTGTGTGAGCTGTGGAGTGTTTCACAGACACAGTATGAATCACTACAAGGCCGCTAGCCAAACGCTCTCAAACTAAACAAATGAATGCGACCTTCTTCATCAATGCTAGACAATCCACTAAAGCTGCTTATGCTAACAGTAATGGCTCAATGAGCATAACTGGCCTTCTTGCTGCTCAGTGGAACATCTGGGACAGCAGTGACATTATAAACAGTGTGGATCTTTGACTATTTGTGGCGAATGAGGCTAGAACAAGGGGTTAGCAGTCTCCGTCTCGGACACACACATTAGCATTTTGTCTGCCAACATAAACTGTGCTAACATTTTACACATGGATAATTGTGCTCAAGCTCATCCTCAGATCTGTTTAGGGTCACTTTTGTAATGGCCACACAGAAAAACAGACATTTTTCCCCTAAATCCTCCATGTAGTTCATCTGCGTAATGCTAATATTGACGTGTCAGCAATAGTCTTTCTTTAATGCAAATTGGGAAAGATTTATATTAGGCCTGCTATATTAGCCAGAGGTCAACAGGAAACAATTACTCACCCTCATATGTTAGCGTTAGCCTTTCTTTAAAGAGGAATTTCACCAGTTTCAGAAGTTCTGCATAGTTAAATTATTACGATTAGGAGAAACTCACACCGTGGTGGTGATAGGAACCAAACGTCTAAAGAGTTTAATGCCTCTAAAAGCCCCCTCAAAAAAAGTCAATACATGTAATGGTTATGAATACGTTACCTGATGCTGGAGAAGAAAATAAAGATTTTTTTTTTTCAGATTTCCTAATATTTTGCCATGATCAACATTTCATATAAACTCAGAAGACTCGTGTAGGTTCACTGGTGGTTTTGGATAGTAAATAAAATGGCTATATTTGTGTTGTAGTCATGGTGACCCCTGGTTCCTATCACCACCGCTGTAAAGACATAAGTCATGATTTGTTTCTCTACGTTGCACATTGAAACACTCTGAACTACTTTGTTTAAATCTCAATGATTGATTTATGCAGAAATTTTGAAAAGTCGGCGGAATTGCTTGTGTTTTCTGTGTTAGCATTGATGTTTCTCTAAATATAAATTGGAAAAGACATGTTTTCTACTTCAAATGTTCAACAACAACTTTGTCATGTTGCACTATGGGGTTTGTAGGCCAAAAATTTCACCTCCACGTTTAATCCATCCATGCAGTGAAACACCACATACACTAGGGGGCAGTGAGCACACTTGCCCAGAGCAGTGGGCAGCCCTATCCACAGCACCCAGGGAGCAGTTGGGGGTTAGGTGCCTTGCTCAAGGGCACATCAGTCATGTCCTGTCAGCTCAGGGGATCAAGCCGGAGACCTTCCGGTCACAGGGCTGGTTCCCTAACTTCCAGCCCATGACTGCCCCACATGACTGCAACCTAATTTAATACAGACTTTTTATGTTGCTAAAGAAGGTCAAGCAGCGTGAGCTTCTGGCAACATCATCACCTTTCCTAGCCGAGGCCTCCCACCAAAATTTAGAGTGATTCGTCAGCGTTTTAAAGAGATCTGAGCCAAAGAGTGTTTTCAGGGCATGTAAGTCATTTTTTTCAACATGGTCTTTTTTTGGTTACTGAACTGTTTCTTTAAATTACAAAATCCAACCATGTATTAGTTTAATCAGCATCTTGTTTCCTACAACGTACCAGTATTTTGAAGCAGCTAACAAGCTCACAGCAAGTGCAGCTGGGCTTAAGTACAGCCTCCGCACTGCGGGGTTAGTACTTACACAGCGTTTACTAATAAGGTAAATTTAGTCTTTTTGTTCCATATGTTTACACAGATTTTAAGATTCTCTAAGATTCTACTTCATTAGTGTCTTTCAGATGTCAGTATTTTGGTTTTAAATAAGTATATTCATGAAATTGACATTAACAGTTAGTAAAGCTGTAGTTATTCAGAGTCAATGTTCCATATTTTACTGATGTGTGGTGTTTTTATTTTTCTTCACTAGAAAAAAAATCTGTCATTGTTTGAAACACAGTCTCACATCAGTGTTCATATATAATTTGATGTGCGTGTATCCATCAGTTGAGCTGTCTATTTGTCTTATACATGAGCATATTTGATGCAGTTTGGTTGGAACATATATTTGTTTCTTACAACATAGAATTATATTGAATTAACTCTGTCTGTTACAGTGAACCCACCCATGGGCCAAACTGTAACACTGCACTTCCTGTCATTTTGGGTGGACAGTGGATGGTAGAAACAACGTTCAGGTGTTGATTTATAGCAGAGATGTATATGTTGCTTGTATGAAAACATGATGATTCCAACTTGAATATTTTTTAAATTATTTTGCAAAAACCAAAGGTTGTGCCCCGCTCTCCACTGAGCTCCTCTTGGCATCTGAAATGGACGTTGTGTATTAGTAAAAGCCTAATAGGAAACAATTACACACTCTTATGCTATCAGCTGGCCGACACTCTTCCTCTTTTATATCCTTTTTGCTGACCCTTCTGTCAAAAATGCTGCCACTTCCGTTGTTTGGCCTCAAGCCTCAAGCCTCTGCCAGCCCTCGCTCCGGCTCCCTGGAACGTTCGGGACCTCCTCCCTGTCCCTGGTGTATTTTTGTGTTTCTCTCGCTCTGATTGGCCAGGCTCTGACGGCTCCGCCATGTTTTGTGTCCAAAAAGCTGCCTGATTGGTCGGAGTGTGCCTGACCTTCTCTCTATGTGTGTGGTCACTTGTGTGTGTCTCCTTGTAGGAATGCCTGACCCGTCTAACTACCCCCTCAACCCTCGCATTGTTATGTTTGGTACGTAACTGTCATGCCGGTCAGTCTGGTGCTCTGTTTGCTGCCTTCTTCATGTGGTGTTCGGATGTACCACCCACTGGGCAGACGCTTAGTTCGAAAGCAGAGTTTGGTGAAAAATCAAATTTATTCAAGTTCCTATTTTAAATACACTCTTAAAAGAGATGGTTCTTCAAGGGTTCTTTAGTAAAGGGTCTATATAGAACCATGAGTTCTATATATAAAACCATTTATGCTTCAGTGGTTCTTTGCATGGTCAAATGGTTCTCAGATTGATGGAGAATATGTTTTATAGAACCTTTTTGAAAATGGCTCTGTGCAGCACCAAAAAGGTTATATATAACATAGTAATAAACAGCTATATCATATCTATAAGCAAAGTATGTATGCTTTGTGCATGTTTAATAAAGCAACAGTTACCAATACTTTTAAAACGATGGTTCTTCAAGGGTTTCTTAGTAAACAAAAAGGGTTCTGCTGTTGCTACGATACGAGTGTGTAACAATAGACGACCCCTTTTTGGAGCTTCATAGATCCCTTTTCAAAAAGGTTCCATATAGAACCATATAAAGTACATTCTTCATCAATCTAAAGAACAATTTGACAATGCAAAGAACCCTTTAATCATGTAAAGGGTTCTTTGAGTGTTCAGGGTTTATACAGAACCATTTTCTTTAATAAAGAACCCTTGATGAACCATCTATTTTTAAGAGTGTAGAACCATTTCATGTTTAATTCGTTCTTTGCATGGTGAAATGGTTCTTCAGTTTGATGGAGAACGTGTTGTATATGAGTTCTATATAGAACCTTTTTGAAAATAGTTCTGCTATTGTTACGCTGTCAAGCTTAACAAAAGAAGAACCCTTTTTGGTGCTATAAAGAAACTATTTTCAAATTGATTCTATAGAGAACCATATAGAACACATTTTCCATCCATCTGAAGAACCATTTCACCATGCAAAGAACCCTTTAAGCATGAAATGGACTTATATCGAACTCATAGTTCTCCTTTACTAATGAACCCTTGAACAACCATCTTTTTTAAGAGTGTAGCTGATGGCTAAGACATGTTAGGCAGTACGAGGCTAATGTAGCTAACAAGTAATGGAAGTTTATGAACACAATTCATAAAAACTGTTTACCTGGAACCATGAGGAGTAGTTCAGTAACCTCAGATAGAGCTGCTTATGCGGTTTCTCACACTGTACGATGTCCTTTTATCTAGAATAATGAACAAACATACACTGCGTTGCTAAAAACAGTAGCCGCAGTAGTCTGTACAATTGTGGTCCAACCTTAATGATTTTTCGCCAAACTGTCCCTTTAAGACTTGTTCCATTTTCCTTTGGATTACTTGAGGTGCTTTAAATGATGGAATAAAGCAAACAGGCTGTTTAAAGTGACCTGACTGATGCGGTTTTCATATACACTGACAGTACTTTAATATGCGGATCACTATCAGTGAAATCTGCGTGAGTTTTGCCCAGTGGGTATGTATATAGGCCTCTATATATAACTAATATTTCCATAGAACGTCTCTGCGTAGCTGCATGGCTGTTTTCATGCTCTTTTATTCCGCTGTTTTGCTATTTTACCATTTTCATGCTATTTCTATTCAGCTTGCTTTGTTTGCCATCGCATTAACCTTATTTCTCTCGGTCAGCCACCATCAGTTCATGGCTGTCCAGCAGTGGTGAACCGTGATTATTAGAGCTAGTCCTTCGGTTGTGTCAAAACTCGGTCAAAAATGAGAAAAAAACACCTTTACAATGATGCTAATTTATTGCTAGCACCATTAAGGGGTTCTAGTTGTGTGTTAGTGCTAAGCTAACAGCGATTCACATGAGTCTTTGGACCGTTCTAAATCAAACATGGACACGCGAAACTTGTAAAAGACACTGAATGTATTAGATATTAGTTATTTATTATTTATTATGAAATTAATAATAAATTAGCATATATTTTACCTTATTAGCAATTTTACCGTGACTGTTTTAGCAGCTACTCCTGATATAGAGCTGCTGTTGTTTTCCTTTTCTAACAACCTGGTTAGACTATGGCTGTAGTATGGTGTATCTGGAACTTTCCGAAGTCCTCGAGTGACGTCTTTTCTCACAAATTTTGCCCCATCGTAAATCAAAATGGTTGATTCCTCTGTCACTTCTTAATTATGTTGGTAGTAAATTTAAAGTATATTCACGGCCTTCAGTCCAGCTCCTGAAGTGCTAACCAATGGGAGAGCAGACTGGCTGTATCTGCCCAGATACCACAGGGAAAACGATCCTGATTGGACAGTTTCCACTGGAAGTTTTAAGAATTGATCCCTTTTGTTTCCAACTGAAAAACTTAATCATTAAATATGAGAATTACTACAATACAGAGTTTAAATACAGCAAGCAAATAATTCTGTTAAATAAAAATTAACTAAACATGGCGGAAGTGTATTTGTATATTTCACAGAAATCATTAGGGCTTCTCTGAAGACTTTGAAGGCCCTGAGGTTCCCCACTGCTGTCCAGTGATACAAACAGTCTACCATCATATTATCACCAAACTATCATTTCTTAAAAATCATGTCTCGTGTGCATCCGTTCCGCTCGTAAAGGGATATTCCACAATAGAGGAAATCCACCTACCTTATAGGTCCATTATACAGGTGTACAGATACAGACCGTTGCCCATCTGCACAATTTATCAACCCCCCTGTACCCCATTCATCGTTGGTCAGGACTGCCTTTTTAAATGGCGGACGATTCTCAGCTCTGCTGACCACTACTGAGGGCCTAGAGGATGGCTAACACTGTCCATCAACAGATGGGCTGCAGTCTCTGTACACCAGCATATCACAGTTCTCTGAACAAAACCTTGTATCTCCATTTTTGTCGTTTTTCAGTTTCTGTCATAATTTGAAAATAACTATAACTTTTACATTGTGTGTAAATTTCATGATGAATGGACAAACAGAAATGACCCAAAATGACTTGGAAAAAAGTCTGGTTCCATTGACTTACATTGAAAATAAAGAAGGTTTTTTCCTTCTCCTGTAAAGTTACTATTTTGGAGATACAAGTTTTGTTCTGACAACATTGATGTACATAACATTCTGACCACCTCCTTGTTTCTGTGCTCATTGTCCATTTTATCAGCTCCACTTACTATATAGGTGCACTTTGTAGTTCTACAGTTACAGACTGTAGTCCATCTGTTTCTCTGCATACTTTGTTAGCCCCCTTTTACCCTGTTCTTCAGTGGTCAGGACCCCCATGGACCCTCACAGAGCAGGTACTATTTGGGTGGTGGATCAGTCTCAGCACTGCAGTAACACTGACGTGGTGGTGGTGTGTTAGTGTGTGTTGTGCTGGTACGAGTGGATCAGACACAGCAGTGCTGCTGGAGTTTTTAAACACTGTGTCCACTCACTGTCCACTCTATTAGACACTCCTACCTTGTCAGTCCACCTTGGAGATGTAAAGTCAGAGACAATAGCTCATCTGCTGCTGCACAGTTTGTGTCGGTCATCCTCTAGTCTAGTCTAATCAGTGGTCACAGGACGCTGCCCACAGGACGCTGTTGGCTGGATATGTTTGGTTGGTGGACTATTCTCAGTCCAGCAGCGACACTGAGGTGTTTAAAAACTCCAGCAGCACTGCTGTGTCTGATCCACTCAGACCAGTGCAACACACATTAACACACCACCACCACGTCAGTGTTACTGCAGTGCTGAGACTGATCCACCACCCAAATAGTACCTGCTCTGTGAGGGTCCATGGGGGTCCTGACCACTGAAGAACAGGGTAAAAGGGGGCTAACAAAGTACGCAGAGAAACAGATGGACTACAGTCTGTAACTGTAGAACTACAAAGTGCACCTATATAGTAAGTGGAGCTGATAAAATGGACAATGAGTGTAGAAACAAGGAGGTGGTCATAATGTTATGCCTGATCGGTGTATATTAAAGCCTGACAGATGTTTTTGTCCAACAGGTGGCGCTGTTGCTCTAAACATATTTGATTCCAAATATCCTGCCAAAAGCTTATGCTTTGGGTTTGGTGACCATTTTCTGCTCACTATCACTGTTTTCTCCCCTTGTGGACAAAAACTCATGTGGGCAGCTTTAATGTCCAAAGGACTGAATGTTCTTTTAAAGGACCCATATCGCAAAACAAACAACTTTTTTAATAAAGAGTTTGATGATGTGTTAACATTATCAGTCCAATGACCTGTTTTGAATTTGTTTTTGTGATGTCACAAAAACCAACACATCTACCACCACCCATTTCAGTCTACAGCAGCTTCGGCCATTCACGCTGAAGTTATGAGGAGCGTTTCAACCCAGGCTGCTGTTTGAATGCAGCACTACTCAGGCAATCAGAAGAAAGCTCATTTACATATATCGTTCTTAAAGGCACAGTAACGACCACAGCCTTGAATAAAGATGGGCTGGAAAATGATCACATAAAAATTAATTACAACCGTTTCTGGTGCAGAAAACCACACACATGTTATAAGTGGACCTCAGGAAAAAATGAAATATAATAAAAATGTTGGATATGGGCCCTTTAATGAGGAGTTCGGCCTTATTTCCACTCTATATCTCCATTCATCGGCTCTCTACACAAGCAACCGTGTTCTGGCCTCTACTAAAGTACGAATTGCTCCACAGAAATGCCGAATGAATGGAGAGAAGCATCACCCGTCTCCACACCTGTCGGCTCTGACGGTGAAATGACCCTTCAGTGTTACTCTTTGTTCCTGTTTTGGCTGTGAACCACTTTAGTACTTTGAAATAATTCACTTAAAGGGGATTCATAGATTCATAATTCCATCTTTGAGATGTAAACAAAGTCGTTCAGAGTGTTTTGAAGTGAAATGGTTCATTGTAGAGAAGTTATATATTTTTTGAATGTTTAAAAATGACAATTTATTATATTTTTTTCTTTTCTGAGTCTTTATCATATCATCCTCCTTCTCCCGCCCTGTAGATGCTCTCCTGGCCGATCTCGAGAGTTCCGCCTCTCCTCTGGCCCGCTGCCCCGTCCTGTTGACCTCTGACCCTCCAGCCAACACCGATACCCCACCCAACAGCGTCCAGGACACCGCTCAGACCAGGCCTCCTCCGCCTGCGTACACACCCCAGCAGGTGAACGACTGAAACCCCCCGAAGCATTTTTAGTTCATTTATATTTAATAGAATAACATTTCTTTATACTTGTACTGGTAAACTCTGTAGTCTTTTATGCAGAATCGTAGTTTGTAAATGGTTAATCAAACTGCATTTGATATATCAACACAGAACAACATAAAATATTTAATATAAATATAAACAAAATTATATTTTTGAGCGCACCAGTTATGGGACTTTGTAACAGTGATTTATGTACATTTATTTATATCAGCACTCAGTAGCAGTAATGCTAACCAATTAGCGCTCAGTAGCAGTCATGCCAACCAATCAGCACTCAGTAGCAGTAATACTAACCAATCAGCACTCAATAACAGTGATGCTAACCAATCAGCACTGAGTAACAGTAATACTAACCAATCAGCACTCAATAACAGTGATGCCAACCAATCAGCACTCAGTAGCAGTAATGCCAACCAGTCAGTACTCGGAAGCAGTAATGCCAACCAATCAGTACTTGGAAGCAGTAATGCCAACCAATCAGTACTCGGAAGCAGAAATGCCAACCAATCAGTACTCGGAAGCAGTAATGCCAACCAATCAGTACTCGGAAGCAGTAATGCAAACCAATCAGTACTTGGAAGCAGAAATGCTAGCCAATCAGTACTCGGAAGCAGAAATGCCAACCAGTCAGTACTCGAAAGCAGTAATGCCAACCAATCAGTACTCAGAAGCAGAAATGCCAACCAATCAGTACTCGAAAGCAGTAATGCCAACCAATCAGTACCCCGAAGCAGTAATGCCAACCAATCAGTACTCGGAAGCAGAAATGCTAGCCAATCAGTACTCGGAAGCAGAAATGCCAACCAGTCAGTACTCGAAAGCAGTAATGCCAACCAATCAGTACTCAGAAGCAGAAATGCCAACCAATCAGTACTCGAAAGCAGTAATGCCAACCAGTCAGTACCCCGAAGCAGTAATGCCAACCAATCAGTACTCGGAAGCAGAAATGCCAGCCAATCAGTACTCGGAAGCAGAAATGCCAACCAGTCAGTACTCGGAAGCAGAAATGCCAGCCAATCAGTACTCGAAAGCAGTAATGCCAACCAATCATTACTTGGAAGCAGTAATGCCAATCAATCAGTACTCGAAAGCAGTAATGCCAACCAATCAGTACACGGAAGCAGTAATGCCAACCAATCAGTACTCGGAAGCAGAAATGCCAACCAATCAGTACTCGGAAGCAGTAGTGTTAGCATCCTACTGGCCAAAGCCTTTTTGCTGTAGAAAGGCACTGGGAGTTTCCTTTGCTTTTTTAGTGGAACACATCCTTCCACTTTCCTAAACTGAAGAAAGTTAAATGGGCAGAAACATATTTATTTTTTGTTTCTACCCAATTAGATTCTTTCGCTACCGTTCATTGGTTTCAGTTGGAAACAAAAGGGTTAAATTGTTGAAAGGCCCAAAGGAAAATGATCCAATCAGAACTCAGTAGATACAGCCAAGCAAGCTCTCCCATTGGTTAACCTCTAATATAATTAGCCACAGACAGTGGAATTAACCGATCATGTTTTGTTTTAAAATGGGTGAGTTTTCGCCTCACCAGTGCGTTTCTGTCAGGTGTTAGAAATGGAAACAGCAGCTGCAGTTTTTTGCTGCTCTCTGTAAAACTGTTACGAAGGTAAGAAATATGTTAATGTCTGTTACAAGCTTAAAATGAAACATGGAATGTCTCTTACATCCTCTATTGTCTGTTTCATCTACAACAACCAAAAAACACTTATTTGAATTGCTGTTAGCTTAGCGCTAACATACAACTAGAATCCCAAGGGGCGATTAGCATCACAGTAGAAGACACTTATGGCCCGAACTGAATGCGTAACTACAGTCATATGCAAAACGTTTTATTGATTTTCTAAGTGAAAATAAGTTCATACATCCTCTACAGCAGGAGTGTCAAACTCAACCATTAAAAGAAAATAATAATATTAAAAAATATTAATATTATGTTTTTAATATTAATAATGTAAAAAAATCTGTGTTTTCAGTTTTAAATAACATTTTGCTGTAATCCAAACTGTCCATTGTTTATTCAAAATATGGCAAGACCTTGAAATATTACATGAACTGAAATGCATCTAGTGTGTTTGGTGATGTGACTGGTGTAGTAGAATTGTGGTGTAACTGATGTCCCAGGTGTTGTTGTTGGGGGGGTGGGAGTGCACATATTGTTGCAATGCATGCTGGGGATTGTAGTGCAGCTCATTGTGAAATGGGCTAATATTAATAGAAAATTAACACATAGGCCTTGTGTTTGACATATCCTGCCCACAAAATTATTTTCATAATTTTAATGGGCTCTACAGCGAACAAACTTAAATACGGCATTTCTTCTGCAAATCTTAATGCAGTTAGTTAGTTAGTTTACTTTTTACAGTTTAAAATATTGGAAAAAATGAAACATAAAGGATAAAGTGTGCCATAATTTTTGCACAGGCAGCATTTATATTTAGATTTTTCTTAATATGTTATATTTAGCATATAAACAGTAATTGTGCGTTAAAATGTGCAGAAATGTGTTCTCTG